GGATCCCCAACCCTGGCCCCAGGACCCGTTTTAGCAGGGAATCCTCGTCCCCGTTCGGGTCGGGTGAACCGGGTTCCCCACTGGGTCAGGGCAAATCACCATCACTTCCCGATCCATCTCGATAAAATATGGAAGTCGTAGGTTATGGTTTTACACATAAGTCAATTAATAGGTTCTCAATCGTCTCGATGAAAAATGAAGGTGGTAGGTTATGATTTTATATGCACAACCACAAAACCAAGTCAATTGAGGAGTTCTTGATTGGTCTCGATGGGTTCTCAATTACTCTTGATTGGTATCGATCGATAGCAATGAGTTCTTGATTGGTCTCGATAGGTTCCTGATCCATCTCGATAAAAAATAAAAGTATTAGATTATGGTTTCACACAAACAAACAAATAATAAATCAACTGATATGTTCTCGATGGAAAATGAAGGTGGTAGGTTATGGTTTACACAAATAAACACACACCAAGTCAAAGAATGGATTCTCGACCACTCACGAACCCTTCGCACCTAGTGCCATCTTAGCACCCGACGACATTGCTCACCCTCGCCACCTCTCGACGCTCCATTGCCGTCCACTCTCTATCAATGCCCGTCAGTGCTATTGGGCCATGCCACTGATCTCCTTCTTTCTTATTCTTTTTTTCCCGATTATCTCTCTTATATGCCTATACTTAACCCATTAAAAATTGTTGTAAAAAGAGGAGAATCGGAAGAAAAAAGATCAAAAGGAGGGAGATCGGTTGCAGGGCCCAACAACGACGATTGACGGTATAGAGAACAGACGACGACGGGGGTGATGAGAGGTAACACTGTTGTTGGGTGTGAGGGGTTGAAATGGTGTCGGGTTTGAGAAACGATAAAATTGATTTACCCTCTTTTTTATTTTAAAATTTCATAATAATTTACATGTACTCTTTTAGATTAAAATGATGTAGGTAATTTTTAAAAATTAAATGCTTTATTTATTCAAATTAAATGTTCAGATACTTAATTATTCAAAATGAAAAAGTTCATGAATTAATCATTTAAAACGGATTTTTTTAAAGTTTTCTATACCTTCCCTATTAAAAAACGTAAATGGTATTTAAAGGCAAAATTGGAAGAAGAAAATCTAAGGGGCCGTTTACCAAACACTTACCCGGTAAGCGCTTACCGGTAGAATTTAACATTGTTATTTACTTATCGGATAAGATTTTAGACCACCAAAACGGCATTGTATGCAAAAATTTACCCGGTAAGCGCTTACCGTGGTAAGAGTCATCGCGCTCACTTACCGGGTAAGACTCTTGGTCCTTGTCTCGCTCTTACACCGGTAAGGTTTTTGATCTTTACCATATTTATCCGGTAAGGTAAAATGACTTGGTGTTCACTTACCCGAGTAAGCGTTTGGTAAACGGCCCCCAAGTCTAAAGTGAATTCATGAGAAAGATATTGGGTATTGGCAAATTTCTCTTCTTTTTCTCTTAGACGATCTACCATCACTAAGAGCAACTTCAACTTTAACATCAAAAAAAGGGGCAAATTGGTGGGGTTATAAACACCAAAAAACGCCTCATCTCCAAGCACACAACATTTATGTCGTTCGAATAGGAGGTCGGCATATTTGTGGTTTCTCTCCCGTCAAAAACGACAAAATTAAGTTCTCTTTGCCAGTCGAATGAAGTTAAAAACCCAACAAAAACGCCATTTTAGCATACGATTGAAGCTGCTCTAAGAAGCATTAGGGATCAAAATCCAAAACCGTCTCTAATCTCTACAATCTCCACCTTCCTCCCAAAAAAATTATTGTGATGTAATTAACTCAACCAGGGTTTTACATCCAACGTGATGAAATCTCGTTAAATTTTCGACCTCTATGTTTTCAACAACAACGAGAAATTGAAGATTGAGAAAGGATTTGAAAGAAAAAGTTTACCCTATGTATTGAACTAAAGATTGACAGCAACGGAGAAATCAAAGATAATTGTTAAAATACAAATTACCAAAATGCCCTTATCAACCTAATTTTTGGCAACTTAATCACAACCATAGATGAATAGTCGTTTTCCTTCTCGTGTTTTCTTATTTTGACTTTGATCTTGTTTGAACCGACCATATATATAAGATCGAATAGACTTGAGATCACCCAAGAATTTCATCTTTTGTGATAACCATGGGAACCCCATCGTAGCCCTCATATGAGTTTTGTTGCTTGGTCGGGTGCCTAAAAAACGCACGGTGGCAAGACCGTAAATAAACGAATTTTCGACGATATGTGATGTAGACATATATGGAGCTTAACATCCTTCAAATACTTTAACATACATTAACACGAAAACACTGATTAACATTGACATATCTTAATTGACCTTAACGATTGAACAAAAAAGAACAAAACCTTGACATACTTTAACATGAGGGTAAAACTGTCTTTTCCTAAATAGTTCCATCTATTTTGGTGGGATAACAAAATCGCATTTTTGTCCTACCGAGTCCCATTTTTTTGTTATATCCAAGTCATATCTAATTCCCCAAGCACACTCTTCAATCTTTTTTTCTATTAACCTGGATATTCAACCCGCTATACGAGCCGACTAATCCCAAAACGACCACCTGTTTTGCTCGTAATTTGGAGTCACCGCATTTGAACCTCCATGTCCACAAGAAGATTTTTATTCCTCATTGGATTTGAACCTGAGACCTCCATGAACTTTTAACCTTTAAAGTTCAAGTTTAAACCAATTAGACACGACTTTTATGGTTCTCACTCTTCAATTTTGGAAGACACTTTTCGTAGATTTATGTAAAAAATGTCAATTTCAATTAAATTTGATTGACAACGAACTATACCACAAAATGTAATTAACACAAAATAAGAGTAAACTACAAATTTGGTCCTTGTAGTTTGTCAAAAATAACAATTTTAGTCCTTGTGGTTTCAAAATTACAAGTTGACCATTGTGATTGGCAAAACTATCCAAATTTAGTCCCTCACTTCCATTAAAAATTTCCATTAAATAAATGGGTATTTTCATTCATTTTATCGATTTTTTTGTCTTTTACCTAGCTTCTTTTTCCAAGTGCAGGATAACCCCGAGCCAATTGATGAGAAGGGGTTGGGGAAAGCTTGAACCCAATTTCTACAGTGATGAATATGAGTGCATTGTCATTGTTTATGAACCCGAACCTGGGTAGTGCCCAATCGAATTGATCGGGTTCCAGTGGCCGACGGGTGAGTAACGCATAAGAACCTACCCTTGGGCATGATGACTTGACGCCATCCTCACCTTCCTCAAAAAGGACGCACCTTTGTTATTGTGCCCACGGTAAACGCTGGGTAGCCAAGAAGAGTTCGACCCAATGCTTTATTTTTGTATGGGAACGTTCAGTGCCAAAGTCATTAAATGGGTAAGTCGCCAATTCCTAAAGGAAGGATTTCTCATTCCTTAGCCGGAAAGATATGTGACTATGTCATCCTAAGGTAAATCTATACGTTTTTTGACCATCTTGTAATTTCGAAACTGTAAAAGTTATTAATAACCAAATTTGAGTTTACTTAAAAAAATAATCAAACGGGTTAAAAGCTCAATAAATTTGAAGTTTCTATTGAACGATGTCGTATATAGTTTAAGGGCATCAATAACCTTGAAGGTAAGAAATAGGCAATGCCTACCAAATGTTCGACAAAATGTCCCAATCAGAGAACATGCAAACAACGCACATGGCCATCTTCAACATAAAGTCAATGCATGGCATTCAATACAACTTGCAATGGATGCTAATAAAAATCTATCTATTGCTTCTTAATCTTCATCCGAAATCGAAGATCATCAAACGATAAATCATCTCGATAAGCAAATATTTGTTGACATTTGCAACAATCTTGTTTTTGATTCGTAACCCGTCGTTTTCTTTTCTCGAGAAAAAAGTTCAACGAATTTACACAAGACTCGAGACCCTGTAATTTTTCGGTCTTCGATAAAAAATGGTTAATAAATAACAATTAATTGAAAGAAGAAGAACCCCAACCATCTCATAATGGTTGCATATGGTAGCTAGGGCTTAATTGCTTAGCTCCTGCCCAACTTCTACCAACATTAATACTCAATAATTCTCTACCTAATATACATATACATCAAGATTTTCAGTATCGTTACGCTCATTGCCAGTGCGATGTGTTACCCCACCGGTACCACAATATTAAACCAAGTCTTTTGAACCAACCGTTCTTGACTTGAGGTCGGCGGCTAACATCGTGTGTTTTGCACAATTCGTTTAGAAAATCACAATATAATGTCTTTAAGAGGTGTGGAAACCTCATTTTCAGTGTTCTTTTATATAATTTAACAGTTGGGAAAACCTCTAGATGGTTCTAGAAGGACTCAAACTGGTAACCAGCAGAGAGCAAACCAAAGACACAGTCAGGTGAGCTACCCATAAGGGTTATCTCATTCTTTGTTTCAGTTTCACAAGCATGGATCAACAAGGTCCGATAGAATCATGTCATGTCATTACGTACAACACCTATAAACGTTCCATGGCGCTACATTCGAAGATCTTCAATGACGTGAGATAGAGATATGTCGAAAAATGAACAAAAGGGCTTCGTAACTTTATATTTGCCATGCATACCCCTAAATCAGTATATCGTAATACAAATCTTGAACCAAAGTACCAAACCAGACCTAACAAGTACAGTACTACATCCCCTAGACGCAGGGTCTGAAAGAGCAATATATTCACAAACCTGACATCTACACAAAGAGCAGAACGTAATACATATCCTCTTTTTCTGTAATAACAATGCATACCTTCTGACACCGGGCCATATACAAGATGTCTACGTTAATATTGAAATACCCGTTTTACCCTTTCGAAAGATAACGTGTACATCATGCATTAAAAGTTGTACACCACTCTAAATAATTAGAATTTAATGGTTAAATTAATCCTAGTTTAATGAAGCGATCCAACCCACATACATTCCCAATAGTTTGCTAAACCCAATACAATTGAATCCAGCCAAGATTTCTTTAATCAATTCCTCCAACAAAACATAATCAAATGCAAACAATAATTTATAAATAGTAAATTATCCTACTAATTAATAATAAATAAATAGAAAATTCCCATTCACACAACCAAAAACCCCTAAATTTCAAACCAAAATTATCACAAAAAATCAAATAGATTTTGGGGTTTTGATCAAAGATGGCATCCAAAGCAGTTACATGTCTTTGGAGTGAAGGAGCAGAATCCAAACGGCCGATTTGGGATGTTGCAGTTGATTGCATAACAACAAGGAGAAGGTAAGCAATATTTACCGCCACCGCCACCGCCACCGCCACCGCCGCCGCCGGCGTTGCAGCAAGTGCAAAGTGAACAAATCTGGAAACCACCGAGCTTCCGCCGCGTATCGTTTAATACCAGACGCATCATTTCTCCTTTTCCGGGCTCTATCAACGGCAGCATCGATTCCTCCGCCACCGGCTCATTTGCCTTCATTTCAAAAGCGGAAACACAAAATTAGCAGAAATCAAGTGAACATGGAAGAGAATATGAGAAGATCTACAGATTCATTGGAGAAAACACTTGAACATAAACCAAATCGATTGAGAAAGTTTGCTCGATTCAAATATGATAAGAAGTTAGAATGTAAGGAGAAACAAGTGGTGAAAATGATGGAACTCACATGGAGAAATGGAATTGGATTAAGGAGAAGGAAGAAGAAGAGGAGGAAGAGGGATTGAAGAAGAATCCGACTGGCAGCAGGAGCAGGAGCAGGAGCAGACATGTTTGTGAATAGAGATGTTTTGTTGTGATCTGAATATATATATATATATATATATATATATATAAACCTTTTAAATATTATTATAATTTAGCGCTCTTCCAAATTACTACTATTTATAAATAGGGAAATAAGAGGCGGTAATAACTACTTTTGAGTATTTGGATAAACAATTTATATCAATGTTAAATTGGTAATAAGAAATTTTTGAAGAAGTTAAATTCTTTTGATTTGTAATAAATTGATAAGTGCTTTTATATAAAAACATAAGTTGTTTCAAATAAATAATCCCAAACAGCCCCTAAATAAACATTTTAGTTGTATGTTTTTATCTCTTCCTCATTTCTATTTCTAAATAACGAAAATAGTTATAGGTCTGTAATTAATAGGTATGTAATTTACAGAGAGATTAAAGTATAAGAAAAAGATATAAGTTTATGAACCAGATCTGCAATTACGGATACCAAGTATGTAAATTTGGAAAAACACATCCCTCATACTTATAATTAATTTACATATTTGATCCCTACAATTGCAAACCTAGTTCATAAACTTCTTTACCACATCTGTAAATTATGGCTAAGAGATAAACCCATCGTGAAAAAGGGCTATTAATTAATTTTCCTTATAAATATTTAATTTATTTATGTTAAAAGTATGAAAATAATTTGGTTATTTGGATTTTCTAAGATGATCTTCAATAATTAAATGTATTTTTTATATTATTTTTGTTTTTAGTAAAATTATTATAATTGATACTAAATAAGTGTAGTGTCTATACATCTTATAAACCAAATTCATCAAAAGTGTTAAAAATAAATTTTATTGTACAAAGTACTATACATTTACGCACGAAGTCTTAAAAGTCTTAAAAACAACTTATAATACATTAAGTATTATTACTTTATGCATTCAGTTTTAAAATCTCTTAATCTACAATTAAAATAACATATTGTACAAGTTTACCAATGCACATTATAACATTTTTTTTTTTCATGTTCCTAAAATACCTTTGACACATTTTACTCATGTCTTCACCCTCTTATATCTCTATCATGTCTTCTCCCCATCCCCAAGGTGAGATTCAAACTGATATTTACCATGAGTTATTAAAAATTCTCTCATTCAATTGCTCTAGAACTCTCGGTCTCGATCTCTTGATTCTTTGCTCTTGGTGTAAATCGAACACATTTGTGGAGTCGTTTAAATATGTTGGATTTTAAATATATTGGATTTTAAACTGTCATACAATTTTTTTCATCGATAGAAACCATAACTCTTATTTATTCAAATTGTATTAATATGTAAAGACCAAGTGTAACTTATATCATCGTTAAATCTTCTCTAATAAAACCAGTGAAACTTCAAAATCAATAAAATTCACGACTCCCGCCGCATTGCGCGGATACACAACTAGTAGTTAATGATGCAACATATGATAATTGAACCAAATATTAAACTTGTTGATTATGTGAATACCCAAGAATTATATTTTAAAACTTGTTAATTTAACGAATTCTAAGCTGTAAGCACAAACTTAAATGCAGAAACTGATGGAAAATAAACTTTTTGCTATTGCTCAACTGACCATTCAGATTACACATTTATAATATAAATAGAGAGTTAAATAAGAACAGACTTGGATATATATGATGGATCTAGCATAAAATGAAAAAAATAGCAAAAAGAATACATTTTAAATGACGTTTTTGGCCTTGAAAATCTTGTAGGTCCCTTCGAGATCTACCCAAAGAGTGCTTCTCGTTCTAAGGTTAGAATCGGCGTATCATGTGGCTGAAAGGAAGATACGTTACAAAAGTTATGTACGTTCAAACGTAACACCTCATGTTGGCCTAGTTATGGGCTTCTAGGAACATTAAACTGGTCTTCCGCATCAATTAGGTGACGTATGTTTTTTAAGAGATGTTAAAGTCTTATTTCACTTCTGATTAATAAAAGGTGGTGTTGAAGTCTGAAATCTGAATCAATAAGATTGTTTGTTTTTATATACTGACAAACATTTAAAGTTTGAAATCTTAATCAATAGTTCGTTTTTGTAAATCAAGTGCAAACATTTTGCAAAATTCACTTGATTTTCATAAAATTTTCATTGCCAAAGTTCATATCAACAATTGTTTAACAGATGGAACATAGTAAAAGATTTTGGATATCTTTCAGACTTTCGATGTTATCGGGAAGCCGTTGGTGAGTTTGTTTGCGGAAAGATCGATACTTTTTGATAGAGGATAGAACGTCGATAGATATTCTTGTTCACATTAATCTTCTAAGCTAACCTATACGTATAGTATATATATATATATATATATATATATAGAGAGAGAGAGAGAGAGAGGTGAGTTATTATGCAACTCTTTACATTTGTACAATCAATGCAACTCAATTTCAACCGTCCATTTAATTTGATGAATATGTGATTTCATAAAAGTTTTAATTGTTTTCTAATATAAAATATTGATCATAACTAATGAACTCTAGTCACCTTCCATAAATATTTAAATCATAATAATAAACTCTAGTCATCTTCATAAATATCTTAATTAATTGGGTTGTATTGGTTGTATAAATGAACATGGTTGCATTTGAAATATATATATATATATATATATATATATATATAGAGAGAGAGAGAGAGAGAGAGAGAGAGAGAAATGGTGAGGGTGTGCATTAGCCTTGTTTATAATGATATTAAAGGAGACATTATTGTATATACATATTTTAATTTTACTCGTTGAATATGTTTTATTACAAATTAAATTTATATTCATATTTTAGTTTTAATAAATTTAATATGCATATATATAAATCAATGATTATTTTTTTAATAATTTAAAAGCCAATAAAACATATTTAATTGAAACATTAATAAATATATTTTGATGTGAAATATAATCAAACAGGTGGTGTTATATCAATGTCTAAAAGGGGTTCCTTTAAAATTGTGGAAATGTAAAAAGATGTGATTGAATTATATAAATATATTTATTTATATAGAATCCAGTTCAAATAATGAAGTTATTTACATAAAATTACTTGTAATCTTGAATTTTAAGTAATGTATATCAATAAACAGTACTTCATGCATAAAAATCGTTTTTAAGAGTTTTTGTCAAATGTTTTATAATATAGTATAAATATTTATTTATATAGAATCCAGTTCAAATAATGAAGTTATTTACATAAAATTACTTGTAATCTTGAATTTTAAGTAATGTATATCAATAAACAGTACTTCATGCATAAAAATCGTTTTTAAGAGTTTTTGTCAAATGTTTTATAATATAGTATAAATATTTATTTATATAGAATCCAATTCAAATAATGAAGTTATCCGGTTTATTTATGATATTTCAAGACCACTCCTTGAAAACTAACGTAAAGTTTAAGGATGTAGTTTGCGTGACGTGCAACTTGAATAATATCTTGAATTTAATTTATGTTCTAAAGATTTGTACGGCGAACTTTTATTGCATTTCGTACCCTCCACCACGCTTAGGGATGGTGATTTGCCCCGACCGGGGGGGAACCCGGTTCACCCGACCCGAACGGGGACGGGGATTCCCCGCTAAAACGGGTCCCGGGGCCGGGGCCGGGGATCCCCGGTAGACTAAAACCGGGGACGGGTCCGGGGACGGGGAATGTTACTCAAAACGGGGCCGGGGTCGGGGCCGGGGATCCCCGGTAGACTAAAACCGGGGACGGGTCCGGGGACGGGGAATGTTACTCAAAACGGGGCCGGGGTCGGGGCCGGGGATCCCCGGTAGACTAAAACCGGGGACGGGTCCGGGGACGGGGAATGTTACTCAAAACGGGGCCGGGGTCGGGGCCGGGGATCCCCGGTATAATCAAACTAAAGCATACTTTTTACCGGGTTTTGACTGGGGATTGACCGGGGTTTACCGGGTTTTGACCGGGGATTGTAAAAATTTGACCGGGGACGAGATGATAATCCCCGTACCCGCCGGGGACCGGGGCCGGGGACGGGGAACGGTATTACAAACCGGGGCCGGGGCCGGGGATTACAAAACCCGCCCCATCCCCGCCCCGTTGCCATGCCTAACCACGCTCACTCTACCCACTAGAGATGCATAAATGGTTCGAGGATCAAGACCGGTCTAACTGGGACGGGTTTCACGGAAAAATATAACTGGACCTTTCCGAACACAAAGTCTGGTCAATTCTCTCTATCTCTCTCTCTCTCTCTCTATATATATATAGAGAGAGAGAGAGAGAGAGAGAGGATCAAACGAGAACAGTACATATTTGAAAGAACATGAAAACGGATGAATCACATGTGATTTTACACTAACATTATATACAAAATCACATGTGATTCATGCGACCTTGTCTGGCGACCTGAAGATGCAACCACAAGTCAATGACACTTTGTTTACTATTAAAGTAAAATCACAGATGATTTGCCCGTTTTCATGTTCTTTTAAATATGTAGCCCCCCCTTCTCTCTCTCTCTCTCTCTCTCTCTCTCTTTATATATATATATATATATATATATATACAAGGCCGGAACCTGATGGGGGCCTTTGGGGCCATGACCTCCCCGTTTTTTAGACTTAAATACTATATTAAACTTTTAGAAACATATATAATAAATTTTTAATTGATAATCATTTACAACCTCCATCTTTTCTGTTTCAAAACCCCTCCCAATCATTTTTTCTCCCATGCACTTTATATAAATTAATAATATTTAATTATATGTATTAGTTTTTACATAATATATTAATTATATGTAAATATAAGTTTTTAAAGTAAATTACACTGATATTACTATTTCTCGGTTAATACTTTGAATGTTTAAGTTTTTAGAGTAAATAATATAATATATTAATTATACGTAAATAATGTTTAAGTTGGTATTACTATTTTCCTGTTAATACTTTGAATGTTTCGAGTTTTAATATTACATTAATCAATCTTTTTCTAAAATTTAATAGTCTAAAAACGAATCATTTGGATTTACAATATTATAGCATCTTCAACATATTCTTCAAAAAGAATTCCAAAATAGATAATTAAAACTCTATTAAAACCAGGGCTCGAGCTCCCAGCCCTAACCAATCTCCCGTTGGCAGGAAAGTCGTTTCGATCCAATCCATTCTTGGGGTCAAATAAAGACAAAAAAGGATATCTCAGTGACCTATAAACCGTTAATATCAATGATTATTATCGGTGTGAATATGATAAAAAAAATGATTCTCTCTCATTGTAGTCATTTAGGGTGCGTTTGGTGCGCGGACAGGACAGGACAGGACAGGACAGGACAGGACAGGNATAACCATGGTGAACTATACTATCCCTCGGGAAGTAAAACTGCTATGTGATATCCAACGAACCTTGTAAAAGCACCTACCATTTTTTTGAAAATGCAAAACAAATTAATTAATGAGATAACCAGGTACAACTAATGTCCAGAATGGAATGAGTACAAACTGAATGTTTATACTGCAACACTAAAAACTATTACAAAAATTTGAGAGGAAATTGGGCATGATAGGACTCAACCAAAATGAAAATCTGAGCAAAAACAAAGAGGATGACTAAAAACTAGACAAACTCCGGTGTATTGAAAGTCAAACAATTAAAAATCCTAAAGCCGACTTAGATTGCCAAGCAGTTCCAAGGAGATACAAGCTGGGACCTAATCAAGGATAGCACTCCTCTTCCCCAAAAACAAAAACAGATAGGGAGAATTTAACTCCCCCCCCCCCCTCAATCTTTTATGTTCCTACAAGAAAACCTAATGCCACAGTTTCTTTCACTACTAGATTAAAGTAAAAGCAGGCATATTACACACTGGGGCATTTAATCAAACACTTGGTGCTCAAGTAAAACCAACAAGGAAATCGAAGTCCCAATTAAAGAAATCGAGATCATTGGTATTCACCACACTGTCTACCTCATTAATGTCAAATGTAGCATCACGAGCATTACACCTGGTGTTCATACGAAAAACATACAAGAAACAGAAGATGGCCATACCAGAAGTCTATGGCAGATAGCGAGAGAGAAGATATCGTGAATCCGTGAGATTGAAGTCCGTGAGCGTAACGTAAGAACGAAATCTGAAATAGAGTTGGTTTTTAACATCGTTTGTTTATAACATCAAAACCGACAGAAAGTAAGAACCCTAGAATCAATCGCGTACACACAGATGGAGGCGATGGAGAGAAGAGACGCGATCGATTGCGTACCTGGGTATGGAGAGAAGAGACGCGATGGAGGCGATGTAGGCGATGGAGGCCGTCGATTGAAACTCGCCGTCGATTGGAACTCGCAGGCCGTCGACAGGAGGAATCGAGAGGATGGAGCGATCGAAATGTTACGTTCTTCTTGCAGCCGGGTGGGAAAAGGGTAATAGGGAAATAGGGTTGTGTTCCACTTAGTTCCAGGGGGGTAGGATGGAACACGCGTGTCCAAGGCTTATCCAAGTTAGTTCCACTTAGTCCAATATTAGGCCACACCAAACACAGGACAAATGTGTTCTGTCCTGTTCTGTCCCACCCTGTCCAGCTTACCAAACGCACCCTTAATGTTTACACTCTCATGTTTTTTTTCGTTTTGGAGAATTTTGGAGAACTTGTTAGAGCAAAAATATGCCTAAAATCTCCATTTTCTCAATTTTAGAAAATCTATTGAAGATGCTCTTATATTTCGGACCCTCGGACTACAACGGTTGTGTTCCGCCCCTATATATATACATATATATACATATATATACATATATATATATACATATATATATATAGAGGTTGGTTATTATACAACCCTTGTCATTTGTGCAACCAATACAACTCAATCTCAATCGTCCATTTCATTTGATTAATATGTGATTTTATAGAKGTTTTGATTATTTYYTAATATAAAGTATTAATCATAATTAATGAACCGTATTCATCTTCYATAAATATTTAAATCATAATAAATGAACTCTAATCATTTCCATAAATATTTCAATTTATTGGGTTGCATTGGTTGTACAAATACGATAGATTGTATTTGAAATAAACCCTATATATATATACATATATATATATGTGTGTCTGTGTGTGTGTATATATATATATAAAGAGGTGAGTTATTATGCAACCTTTTGTATTTGTACAACCAATACAATCAATCTCAACCGTTCATTTAACTTGATAAATATGTGATCTCATAAAAGTTCAGATTGTTTTCTAATATAAAGTATTGATCATAATTAATAAACCCTAGTTATCTTCCATAAATATTCAAATCATAATAAATGAACTCTCGTCATTTCCATAAATATCTCAATTAATTGGATTTTATTAATTGTACAAATATAATAGGTTGCATTTGAAACGTCCTCTGGTATATATATTGAAACGATTGGTCATTGCATTCCTTAATCCAAACACGATTATGGGACCCACTCAAAGGTATGCGCTTTTCATTCAAGTACTTAAAGTTTACATTTGTTGTGAATTAACTATCAAAACATATATAAATTAGTGATATTTTTGTCATTTTTGATAACTTTTACCGAAATAGATGTAAAATGATAAGGATTTCAACATTTGATCACTTTTATATCATATCTACTCATGAATTGCGCTTTAGAAAGGAATTGATCATGTACATCTCGATACACCTCATTAATGTTGACATTCAATTAAGATTAATCCAAGAGTGTAGATCTCTTCTTACATTTATCACCATATTTTTGAAAGCATAAGAAAAACAACTGAAATGATCCATCTTTCATTGCTGCTGAAAACTTATGCTTACAATCTTTTTTCAAAAACACTACTTGATGGTAATACAAAACTTAAGACAACTTGTGGCATCCATGGTTAAAGATGTGACTCGTTTGCGCTAAACGCAATCTACGACAAAGATAAAAACGGGACTTTTACAATCAAAATCGGCAACTATATATCATACAAAACAAACACATTTACATAATCTTGATCATCGTCAAGTTTGTTACGTACTCGGTTTTAGTTTTGGTGCTTGTTCTTGATAGACACACACACACACATGTGTATACACATATACATATTTTAGATCATGCTAATGTTCAAAGAACCTGGATAAGGATCAACCCAAGATTCATCCTCCTTGGCAGCTATTTGCCATCTCCTTCTGAATATCTTGTATTCTCGAAGTGAATGCCGTCTCACCTAAATAACGACAAATAACTCCAAATTTAATTAGCTCAGGAGTTAATCTTACATAATCCTACTCAAGTAATGTCTTTTCGTTCTGCTTTCCGTCATATTTGGGTTCAAACTTCTACATGCCTAGAAAACATCACAATGACGAAATCATTGATCAATGTTTAAGTTCTTTAGTAACTTTGCCTTTGATACATGAATGAGACCCGACAGAACTGGAGGGGCAGGACGTGGTAGAGTGAGCTACGCCGGTAAAAGAATTGTGGAAGATTTTAGGGTTTTCGTTTGCCATGGGTATTTTAGTACTTTACCTATCTTCTCCATCTCCCTGTGTTTTTTGTTCTACCTATTGGTGGGAAAAAAGACGTTTTTGTCCAACTCAGTCCGGTCCTATCACAGTCTGTCACCATGACATGGGCAAAAAGTTTTTGTTATGTCCGGTTCAATGTACCAAACGCACCCTAACAGAATTGAGTGTGATTCAGGCTCTTGCCTCAAGGCTCCTCGGGATTGCATGGCAAGATTGGGGGCAGAAGTAATTGAAGTGTTTATTCTTCTTACTTTCTCGCTCACGATGTTTCACAAACCGGGGGTATTCATCTAAACAATCGCTCTACCCTTCGGGGTGGAAGACCGCTCTGCATACATCCCCACCCCAGACCCTGCTCTTGAGTCTTGAGTGGAATATATTGGGTTTGTTTGGTTTGTCTTAGATATAAGCAAATTACTTGACCACAAAAACATAGTCTCATTTTACTTGTTTCCAACAATTATTACTCTGTGTGTGTGTGTGTCATCGTGTTATTTTAAACTGTATCGGTATCTGATCGTACAAACCCAAAAAAATAACTTACTTCCGTTCTAGGATTTGGTTCAGAAGGATCCGCATTATCCTGAAAATATATACATGGTAAATAAACAGAATTAGTTTGAGATGGAACCAATGCAAAATGGAATACAAAAAAAAAACTTGTGTTTGCAAGCTTTGTAATGTTTGTGAGGAGAGACATGTTTCCATCTGTTGCCGGTATAGTATGCATCAATTATCAACGCATCAACAGAATTGCAGACGAGATCTTCAAAATAATAAACCTAAAAGCACGGCGTTTAAAACCCGAGGCAGGCGGGTCATTTGAAGGTTATCCGGTTCAGAAGAAAAAAAAGGTCATCCTCCTAATTGAAAACTCTATTTAATGCCATTTAACTGACCCATCAAAACTACGGCATACTGTCAGAGGGTTTTTTCCGAAAGGAAGAAGGAAAAAGGCTTCCTACTAGGGAGGGTATGATTTACGCTCATCTGACCTCTAACCTAAAGAGTAGAAGCGTAGAACAGCTGATTCCTCTTATTCAGTTTCTTCTGGGAAAGAGTGTGCAAGATGACTAGTGGGCAAATACTATAATCAATATGACACTTGAGCTGGTATAATCGAAATAGGAAGTTGTAAACCAATCATAATTAGACTGACCGTGTTGTGAGGCTCTCCGAAGGTTGGGAAAGCATAGTGAACAACGTATTCAGCATCCACAACCCCAACATTTTTGGTTCTATCTCCCTACCAAACAAATGCCATTATCATTAACAAAGTGCACTAAATGTAAAAAGACATTATATATATGTATATATGTGTGTGTATACATACATACATACATATATATATATATATACATACATACATACATACATACATATATATATATATATATATATATATAGGGTCAAGTTATGGGAAAACCACATAAAAGTGAAAAATTGAGGCATACCCTAATAACCATCCATATGTACGGTATGCAAATGTGTATACAAGTAATTTGCCGGTATGCACACGTGCATAGAACCAGGAAACATCTTCAATTAATTGTATGTGTATGTGTATACTGTACAGATGAATGATTATTAGAGTGTTCCTCGGTTTTTCAATTTTTTGCGGGCTTTCCCCTAAATCTCTCTCTCTCTCTCTCTCTCTATATATATATATATATATAGAGAGAGAGAGAGAGAGCAAAAGAGAAACAACTCCCAGAAGAGAAATTTACCTGTGCACAATAACCAAACAGAATATCTAGCCCCCATGCATGGTTCAAGTCCTTCTGGGATATAAAAGATAATACAGCATTAAAAGCGGCATCAAAGACTTCATCAGTTAAAGGAAGACTGATCAGGTGCAAAAACTTGATCACAATATTCTACTCGCAAGGCTGTGACAACTTCATAAGCAAAAAAGAAGGTTAAATCAATTTCTCTCATTCCATTACTTCTTCCTCTTTTTCATTTTCAGTTCACAGCAACTTGAAGTCAGCCTCCCTTTGCCGTTGACAAGAATTACAGTTAAGTGTATGGTTGATGATGCATATATAGGGCTTAATCTTTACATGCAGCAGGAATGGGACTGGATCATTTCTATTCACTGAATAAAAGACTACTTGTAAAACAGATGACTACAGCAAAATCGACTTTATAGGATGCCAAAAATGTCTAATCGTCCTAATAGATTGCTTTATAGAACTTAAGATTATAGGACCAAACAACTGTGTGTCCTATCTAAATACGTTGCAATAAGTTGATAATCCTAACAAGTTTTTTATGACGTTTTGAAATAGTGTCATATTAGTTTTTTATATGACATGTATTAAAAGTGTCCTAAGAATGCATCTTTTTATAGGATATTTGGTTTTATACGAAGATTTTTTCAAATAATGTCACATAAAAAAGCTAATAATATGTTTGTTTTTCAAAGTAGTCCTAAAAGAATATCCTATCAACTTATCGCAACACATTTACATAGGACGCACAACTTTTTGGTCCTATAATTAGGACATTTAGATATTTTTGCCGTCATAGTATAAGACCGCAATATCTCTATATAACTACAGAAGCATTCCACTTTCAGGATCAGAGTGCCACCTACAGTTGTAAAGTGGATATTGTTAACGGTAATTCTATGTGGTCAAGGGTTGACTGAGTTTGTGGGAGGTAAACGTTGGAGGCATCCTGATCATTAGGAGATGTGGCTCGTGGTAGAAGAAGTGGCTAGTGGGTAGCTAGTAAATTTCAAATATTTTAGCTAGTTTGTTATTCCCAGTAGGAGTTTAAATATCATTGTTGCTGTTTATTTTAAAAGAATTGTATCGTATTTTTCAGTTGAGAAATAAAGCTACCAGAAAATTCTTCCATAATTTGTTTTCTTTTACTTTTCTTATTCTGAGTTTGTATTTGGGTATAGCAGATCCTAAGCTTTGATATCCAACAGATATGGCTCACCTGGATCATATACCACATACATCTCCAAGCAGTTCTGGAGAAGACTGGAGCCATCAACTCTACCCACCTGCAATGGAACATCAAATACTCTATCGCTATGTCCATCATCAAATCTGGCGTTGCAAAAATATCATTTTAAGCAACTCAGGTGATAAAGTATCGGTCTTTATTATGGAATACGAAATACTAATTACTTTTTGAGTAAGGTAGCTTCGTCAATGTGAAGTTTTACCCTGTGCAAGGAGGATATTGACTCTCCGAATTGCATCCTTTGCTGTTACTACTAGGTTTAGCCCTCCTAAACATGCGGCAAACCATAAGTATTTACAAAATGCCACCCCTGATCAAACAGACATCTGAGTTACAAGCATCGTGTAAATATACATCTTAACAAGATAAATAACATCAGGAACTTACAGCAGTAAGAATCAAATATAAAGGCATTCACATGATTAATTTCCCGAAGCATATTCTAGAGAAGAGAACTGTAAGCTCGTAAGAGATCCAAAGAGGGACATGAGACTAGTTTGAAAGCAACTAGTTGATAACATAGATAATTGTATGTTTGGACATTTTGTCATGATATTTATTAATAAAAGGTATTGCCAATTGTTATGTTTGTATTTTGTTATGATTTATATTTAAACGTAACAATAACTTTAGAATAATGTATTCTAAAATATCTCTAGTCAAGTACGACTAACATATGTAGTGGTTAAGATGGAGATATGATACCATATATGGGTACAAGATGGGGATCTTGTCTACCAAACGTGAACATTGACTAGATGTCATGTGATGATAAGTGTTTCTCATGTTGTCATTGTACACGCAATCGTTTGACATAAGAACATGGACTTTGCTATGTGTGAGTGGCATATTTTAGTGCTTGTTTTAATCATTCCGCAACTGGATGACAAAATGGTAGCAATAGCATGTATCGAGATAGGATATGTCCCTTCTGTATGACAGAAGTGTTGTCTCTGGTTAGTGGTTGAATGGTACTGAGGAAACACATGCATACTCAGATAGTCGGTATATGAACGTTTTGTAAGTACATTTTGGAATTAAGAAACTAATGATTAGACATAACGTGGATGACACATCCATGGCGAGTGCCAATCTGGACATCGAGGAGAAAAGGACAAAACGTGCACCCTGATAACGGTCACGAGTTTGTTCATTAGCTGAATCACCATCATTTGGGTAACGATGATATATTGCTAGATGTCACTCTTTGTTTATGATTATAAATATGATTTATAATTATTACCAACATGATAATATCCGAATGGGTCAGATATGTTGGTGAGTTTAGTATCATCAATCATTTTAGTGTGATTATGAATAACGTGAGATCTAGCTGGTGATAAGGCAAACATAAGTGAGTTAGGAGGTGCGGAGTGCACATTCACAAATGTTGCCTCTAGAGGCGGACCACTCTTTACGATACGGTGGCACGGGCCACCACTTCGTTCCTCCGTTATAATGTAAAAAATTATAGGGTGGTGAAAGGTGTCACCATATCATTTTGTTGTATGCAACCGTATATATTTTGAACGACAACAATGACACAAGTTTCCCTTGATAAGAGTTGGTTTGCATGGTTTTTCTCCCACCCCAGAAGGTTCAAATCATGTCTGTGTCATTTTCTTAGTTTTTAGCTTTTATCTTCAGATTTTTAGTATGTTTCTAAAAAAGTTTGCATTAAAAGATTTAAACACGAGACCTCATATATGAAAAGCTACGAACGAACCAACAGACGACATCTATATCTTTATTTCTTATAGTGAAATGGTGCCACCACTTGAAAAAATTCCTAGTTCCGCCTCTGCTGCCCTATCACCGTAAAGCGGGGGTTCAAGAGACAGTGCCCCTGGCAGCAGTTGTAAACTTTAGAGAGGTCTACTTAGGAATTTTAAGTTCTGCGACATTTTGTACGAATTTCAGAAAGTTAGAAACCTTCTAGAAATATTACTGAAACTTTGTGAAATTTCCTAAGTATAGGTCAGTGGCATGTGGACTTAGAGAGCTCTGAGTCTTCGCTCAAATTTCCTAAGTGACAAGAGCCGGAGGGCCCTTGGTCCTTATGACCTTCAGAGCCTCCAAACTTCTTCTGATGCTTTGCTTCTGACTCAAAGCCTTTGAGCAAGTTGTAACTTTTTCTAATCTTATCCATTAACAGTAATAACTACTATGCAGTTATGTCTTAACCCTTTAACCGCTCATAACCACCAATCTCTCATATAAATACGTAAAATGAGAAATTTGGGTGTATATAAGGACTCCATCTAACAACCTTTAAGTTTAGAGTTTTCATTTGGATTATCCGATATGAAATTCGTGAAACCTAAGGCCAATAAGGAACGAATAATTGTATATAGAAAACGATCTTTCCATGATCCAAGTGATTGTCCGGTCCACATTATCTCCAACCCCAAAACTCTAACAACACATATAGAGTGTAATGGAATAATGAGGCCGAATAATTAAAATGTTTAATTATAAAAATATTATTTATAATTTAATGGGATTAAATTATTAATTAGATAAACGTAAATCTAATATTGATTGTATATAAAAAGGGAACCACAAGGGTGGTGCCTGATTGGTTTGAGCTTGGCTCCAAAGGTCAAAAGTACCAGGAGGTCCCAGGTTCAAATCCAAGGAGGAATAAAAATCCCCTTGTAGCCAAGGAGGTTCAAATACGGTGACTTCGGGCTATCTGCAAAGCAGGTGGTAGCCCTAGGATTAGTCGGCTCGCATAGCGGGTTGGATATCCAGGTTAATAAAAAAAAAGGTAGAACTTGCCAATTGTTGAAACTTATCACCTAGTTTGAGAAAACCCTATCCTCCATCTCTCTCCCATTCACAACAGTCTTTTTCTCCCAAGATTTGAGATTAGCAACTCAAGGAAAGAAGACAACTCCTCCATTTCATGTGACAAAGAACGGGATTTGGTTCATTCAGGTGGAGGCAATGAGTTGTGTTTGTTGCTTTGATTCAAATACGACATCAAATGTTGTTGCTCGTTAAGGTATAACTTTTGAAACACCTATCCTACCCCGTTTCATATTTTGCAATTTTCGGAAAGTTATACAAGGACAGAAAAACATCATGTTGTAAATTTAATTTTAGATTATCATTATTCAACCAAACAAATAAGGTACTGCAAATCGCACTAGGCATGCGACCAAGGATGGCATGCCCATGTTGCCGGGTGCTTTAGAATTTACGAGCCAGAACTTGTATCATATGGTTCAGTCGCAACATACGGCTCAACCAAGGCTCACGACTACGGGTCGCTAAAGGAGGCCGCACGACTAAATATTACAGTCCTAAACATAATCAAACCTCGATACAAGATTTGCAACACAAGAAATTGGACCTTGCGACCTAGGTAGCACTCCGCACCAGCTCACCGCTTGCTACATAGGGAACCAGGAGACCTAGGCTCATGACGCCAGGTTGCCGCCCTTGGTCGTACGTTTGAATTTCCCAATAAGGGGCAAATTTAGGTCAAATGTGATTAGACATTGCTTTCACTTGTGTTCATGGGCAGACCTAATGTGGTGGCATTTATTTCGCGGCCGAAAGGTAAAAAATTTAGGTTTGTTAACGATGCTACCGTATCGTTTTAGAAGGTGCTACCGTATTTCCCTGAAATCCAAATGGTGCAACTAACACCCAAACAAAACAAAGCCCAAATAACCAAAACCATACTTTTTGTAATTAAATTTTGGGTATATATTGACCGTTTTCAAAAGATGAAGACGCATCGGGTACAAGTTTAGGAGTTGTTTATCGGTACTTAGGGCTGTAAACGAACCGAACGAACACGAACGGAGGCTTGTTCATGTTCGTTCGTTTAACTTAACTGAACAAACGAACGAACACGAAYGGTAAACGAACGAAAATCTTTGTGTTCGTGTTCGTTCGTTTAGAAATAAGGTGTGTTCGTGTTCATTTATGTTCGTTCGTAAACATGCTAAATGAACGTAAACGAACGAACATAAACGAACGAGCTAAACGAACATAAACGAACATAAATAAATATTATTTGAATTCATAGTAAATAAATAAAAGATAATATATTAAACTTAATATATAAACGAACATAAACAAACGAATATAAACGAACAGTAAATGAACGAACGTTCACGAACATAAATGAACGAACGAGACTCTTGTTCATGTTCGTTCGTTTAACTAAACGAACAAAAGAAAATAGTTCATGTTCGTTCATTTATTAAATAAACGAACATAAACGAACTTCCCGCTGAACGGTTCACGAACGATTCGCTGAACGTTCGGTTCATTTACAACCCTATCGGTACTATAAAAACCATATTTTTTGTAATTATTTTTAGATGTATATTATACTATATTAATTATATGGTGCCACCGTATGAAAAAAATTTTGGGTCCGTCCCTGCTTGTGTTGCTTTTCCGTTTTTGCAAGCCAGAGCTTTAATCATTTGATTCTGGAAAGTCGTAACACTCTCACTCCCTTCATAGAGTAATAATACCTCAATTCGCTCCCTCCTTATGGATGTACACTATTACATCGATAGTGGAACATCGTTAAATTTGGTGTCGCTTAGTGTGCCATTATTTCTAGTGTGTATTTGTGATAGTTCTTGCCTTTACATTATTGTGGATTGCTTTTTATGGAAGGATTATTGATCACATATTGCTAGATCCATCATTTTGCACCTTTGTTGTATTGAATTTGTTTACATTTGGATTCGGTTATAGTTTGGGACCTTTCGGGAACACTTGGTAGTATTTGCGTTTGACATTTTTCCCATACAAAGACGAGGAGAAACGATATAACAGTCTACCAGAAAAGTTAAAGATCAAATAGTCATGGTGTATTCACATACGATATAACAGTCTATCACAAAAGGCAAGGATCTTGGAAGAACACATTCAGCAAAGGACTATGGGGTTGACAGATCTCTGTGTGTGTGTGTGTGTCTAGAGAGAGAGAGAGGAAAACCTGTGCACAGTTGAGTTGCTCCATCGTGCAGTTATCGCATGATGCACCTCTGACTTTTCTACATCAAGTGCTGGTTGTGAGATTTCAAGCCCTTCTTCTTTCACTATTGACAAATATCTGTGAATATCAAACAACTAAACAATATTCAATGACATTTCTCTCAGCTGTTATTATAACAAGAATGAAACTTTATGATCAAAATCTTTTTTCAGATTTCTTATAAGACTCCCATTCATTGCAACATGGCCCCTATCACTTTCAAGACTACAACAACTAGTTGATTGTTATGAACTGGATTGATTCAAACCAACAATGGAAAAAAGGATTGCAATTGTCTATGCATTTCACTAACAAAAAAAGGGTTCTAGCTGTTCGAGAGGCCAGAGCTCTCCTAATTACAGAAGGGAACTTTCTGCATGACTCACAGCTCTTGCATCCTCCCTCTTTATACTAGATATTAAGTACACAAATTACACTTCTTAACTATTCTAGAATATCACATATGAATGGGCTTTGGCTTAAGTGGGGGTGCATGAGATTACCCCGCCCCTAAAGAACCACCTCGTCCTCAAGGTGGATAGAGAAAGTAAGAAAATTGTTGTTGTTCGGTTACATCTCCCCAACCAGTTGCCACTGCGTATAGACGATCAACATTTGAACAATCTCGAACCCATATGCTGATATTGCCTTATAAAGTTCTTCATCAGCCTAGCAATATCATTCGTTTGCAAAAATGCATCGTCTAGGTTAAGCTTCGGAACGCTAGCTCTTATAACATCAATTGGCTTATCAACTACAGCACGATATTGTATCAAAGCTACAACATTGACAAAAACAGTGTCCTTGGTCTTACACTTCACAGCCAACTGCTGAAGCCCTGGTGTGAGATGCCCAGCAAGCTGACTTCTAAAAATTCAAGGCATAGTGACAACCTAGCTGAACATCATCAAACTTCCCAATAGTTTCCATGATAGCACACAGTGGATTGATCTACGTGAACCGGACATAATAGGTTTCCCATTGTCTTATACAGAAAAAGATGGTTGCAAGACCAAGAGCAAACAAGTCCGCAGAGTGGTGATATGCCGACCCAAAAAGAAATCAACGTCCAGAGCAATTGGGCCTTGGTTGCTTTGGGCTGTCTCGATGGGACTGGGTTGTTCAAATCCCTAGCGGCAACGGCAGTTTCCAATGAACATCGCTAAACCAATTTTCCACATTCGCTGAGAGCGCCACTGAGTCTATTGTGTTAAGTTTTGGGGTTGGGGCATACTAGATCTACTAATTTGGGCCCACAGCTCTGGATTACTAAAATCACACCTGGTGTCTTTCGTATTCATATGAAGAGAATGATCAAAAGCGATACCTTTACATCAACATATCCAACCCACGTAAGAAACTTCTAGGATGAAATTTAGCATTCTCTCTCGCCATCTCCGTCCATCCATTTCTGTTGTTGAAGATCAGAAACCATGTATTCATGGCTTCAATCCTCTGCAAACTCGTATCGATGGCCATGGATTCAAAAGTGCTCTAATGCCAGTTTGCTATGAACTGGATTGATTCAAACCAACAGTGGAAAAGGAGTGCAATTGTCAAAGTTAATTACCTCTATGTGATCTGCCCTCTCTTCACGTTGTCCTTTAATTGCCATATTGCAAAAACAGGTGATTTTTTTCCTTATTCCTATATTAAGCATCCATCACTATGCCAATCATACTCGCTATCCTGATGAATATTCAGACAACACACTGCCAAAGATCGTCTATGGCCGGACAACAGTGATCCCCATATTGTAAAGATCGTAGCTTCTTTAACTCAATTATCAGTTAACAAGTTTGTAATAAAAGAGCATACCATACCGGTCAGGGTCAAAATTTTCAACTCCAAGATCTTCATCCCAGAGAAAGATATGACTGTAGTCAGCAACTATATCTGGATGTAAAAACCGCTTCGCAAACCACCTGTGTGTCACCATTGGAAACGTTAGCAGCGATGTGAAGGAACAGAGTTATTTAGGAGAATAACTTGTGACGTAACTTTTTAAATGCATGACCTTCCGACAGAATTCTGGTTTAAGATTTTACCATTTTGTTTGATTAACTGCAGAAACATGCACCACACTGGTCTCCCAGTCTAGATCCTTCCATGCATCAACAATACCATCGTAATGAAAAAGCATCACGTTGAAATTACATGATAAAAACTGCATTAAGACAAAGAGATTACCATAAGGTTAAGGTACAGATAACCTTAAAAATGGATCTTCAAAAGAAGGGTAGAGGAAAGAATTACCTTCCTAACCATCTTATCTACCGTTTCCCTTTGTTTTATACCAACAGCAGCGGTAAATAAGCTTGTGGAAGAATTTATTTTCTGTTAATAAGAGTGCACATTAATAACATCCGTGTTAAAGTACGCCAATCAAAGTGTAAAAACAGTCAATCGCCGTATCCACATCTTGCTACTTGCTCGTCCAATGTATCAGATTCTCACAAAAACAGACACAATATCTTGTAGTAGAGACCGTCTACTATAAGCGCATTAGGCAAGACTAGCATCCAAATACCCATTGTTGCCTCAAACATGCCCCTCATCAATGTGATAAAAAAAAACCATGATTGTATCTTAGAAATGCATCCATGGAGGATAAGACATTAAGTAACCCCCCCCCCCCAGTCACTAAACATGGAATATATGGTCTCATGACTACAGGTCTTTTCTACCGAGCTATAGGTCCTCTAACGGCACTAAATCATCTACGTGAGCTTGATATTTTGGATCATTGGCGAGTCAGAGACAAAAATATTACACATACCGATAGCAAGAACGACCAAAACATGTTTCCGCAGACAAAAGAAGAGTGCTAGAGACTTCCCAGGCATTTAGTTTGAAATCATTTACTGATGAAAGAGTTTAGAGTAGCAATTCCTTATGTGCATTCTCCTAGAATACCAATATCATCCACATAGAATACTAGAACAATTCTCTTACCATTCTTCTTAGACAAGAATATTGAATACTCATTGGCAATTGTCATTCCAAAACTTTAACACGTGAGATGATGTAAAGTTAGGATATATGTGGAACCCCATCAGATTACGTTAAAAAAGAAACATATATATAGGGAGTAAAGGAACTTTGTTTAGCTGATGTGGGACTGCAACATGCCCCCTCCAATGGAGGCTAGAACAAAGAAGATGGTCCAGCGTTTTGGGTCCGTAAGGTGGAAGACCCCAGCTCTGATACCATGTGAGATATATGCAGAATCCCATCAGATTACTCTCGAAAGAGCTCTTGAAGGGAGAAGGGAGGTTCCAACATGTACAAGGGGATTGTGTCTAGCCGATGAGAGACTCCAAATAAAGAACCAAACTTGACGAACTTTTTTTCTTCTATTTTTTAATTCTATATTTCCCTCTTATGTATTAGACTATCAGTTGTTTTGTGCTTGTTTGTAATTTTGATTTCTTGTTGTAGACAACCACAACTTAACCTTGACTGTAGGTTTGTAATTTCTATAATGCTATGTTTTGAAACAAGTTGTAGACTCGTACCGTTGTATGTAGTAGAATTTTAAGTAGGTAATAAGATAAACAAGTATTAGTTAAGTATTTGCTAATTTCTTCAACCGGAAATGTCTAGCATATTATTTCCAAACTTAGGTTATTTTTAGTGATACAATGCCTGTTACGTGCCCCCACCCAATTAATTTCCTGGATCCGTCACTGTTTATAAGTCACTACATCTAAGTCTTAAGATTTGAAGAATATTAGAGAGCAAGAAAGGAAAGAAAAGGTAAGACCACTTATCATCTTTCTCCATTTTCGTATATGCACACAAACACAAATGGTATTAATTAGTAGCAAAGTTAAATGGTGTTATTTATAATTAATACGAAATGTCGGCAATAACATTATTAGAATATGGTGTAATGATAATTAAGCATATATGAATAATAACTATTCACGTGTTAATTGTACTACAAGTAATGTCATTTTACAATAAGTGAAAATATAAGATAAACTATTTTATGTTTTATTTATATACTTTTGCTCTTACGTTTTATTTATATGTCAAATCTCAATTTTATATTTTATTTTTATAATTATAAAATTACTAAAAAAATACTAATGTTTATATTAATAAAAAAATATTCATTTTTAAATAAAAGCAAAAAAGTAAACAATAGAAGAAGAAAAAATCACATATGTATATATATATAATATTTTATTAATTATTAACAATTCATAGTAATTAAAATACTATGGGTGGAATATTATAAGATAAATATTAAAATCTAATACAAATAATATAAAAGAAAATATATATTTATTAATAATTCATATTAGTTCAAATATAACATAAATAAATAAACGAGAGAAATATAATAATTTATATCAATTAAAAAAACAAAAAAATAATGATGAAGTAGGTGTTAGGGATGTCCTCTCTTTTGTCTTTATAGCATTATACTTTGTTATTATTTTATTTTATTTTATTTTCTTAGATGTTATTTTATAAATTGTATTGAATTTTTTTAATTATTTTTATTTAATTGTAAATAAAGTATTATAAAAAAATTGATTTTTTTCTGATAATGATATAAGTTGTACATGGGAATGGTGAGTTTTTCTTTTACATCTATTAGTTTTTATTATTTTTGCTATTAATTTATACATAGATCATTATTTTTATTTGTTTATTTTTAACTTCTAAATTAGAAATATTGATACAAAAACAAATCGAGCATTAATAAAGTAAAACATAAAATAATTTATTATATTTTAACTATTTTAGAATTATTGTTTGCTTATATTATGTTTTTATAAGGGTACCTTTTCCTTGCCTATAAAAGAAAGGCTCCCCCTCCTTTCAAAGACATCCATTAGAAGAAATAAAATCATCTTTTATATTTTCACTCTTCTCTCTTGTTCTTAGTTTCTTACTTTTCTTCTTTAGTTCTTAATTTTTAAGTCTACCCTAACCCATGCAGTAGCACACGGCTTGCTGATGAATAAATGTGATGCAATAGCAGGCATTGGGTATCATTTTGCTCAATCTACTTTCACATAATGGTATTGTAGCAAATTGTAATAGCAACATGTTGATATCGTGACGGCATAATAGACATAAGCAAAAGTACGTCATACTGCATGCAATGTTTAAAACATGTAATATCACATTATACTTTGAAGCAATCAGGATACCCGTTTCAAGCATTGTCATCATGTGTTCAACAAGTGCAGCTTGATCTAATTAAGAGATGTAAACTAGAAACTAATATCGACTTCCAAACATATCGAGGTATTTTGTCTTGTTTGTCTAACCCTTCTACCAAGTTAAAACTGAATTTGGGTCCGTGATCTCATGTCCCACTCACTTGATTATCAAAGGAATAAGAAAAATTAGACATCTTGGAGGTGCACCCGCTTGATTTTGAAGGTACTCTGAAATATTTTAAAACCAAGTTTCTAGTTCTTGGGTCGAATTCTTACTTGCAGTAGATATTTAAATTTTTTTGTTTCAATCCAAAATCACTTTCACAAACCCCTAAATCAAAGTTAATAACACATTGAATACTCTATTAATTTCATCTCTATTTCAAAATTTGTTTCCACTTTTTGTTGATTAATTGCATCTTCTTGTAAATTATCATGTTCTTGATCATTAACTATCCTCAAAAATATGTTTTTTTCTCTTGTTCTATTTGTATTATGTAATTTGCTTTTAGTTATTGATTTGATTATTCTTACTCGAAATCTCATATGCATAAGAAAGCAAATTAAGATTCATAGTTCATTTTGATTTTCAAAACATCTTATTTAAAACTAGGAGTTCTAGATGCATAAGGAAACAAAATTGAAAACCTAGAAAATAAAGAGGTCAAGTCAGGCAATGACAAATACTAAAAATTGGAAAAATTTATGAAATAGACCAAAAAACCGAAAAAAATTTCCTAATTCAGCTTAAAACACTCACGCGTAAGACGTGGTCTTGCATTTTGCTCAAAAGGTAAAGGTTGATTCGATTTGAATAAATATATTATTCCCGAAATCGACATAATTGACTTTCCCTTTTGGGTCAAACCGCATCGACTTTTCCCTCGGATTAAAACCTAGGACTTTGATCTACCTAAAGGTGAAATGATTTGAAGTTGATGGTGTTTCTTGATCTTCAAATCTCCTCTTACCCACTTCAAGATTTCTATGTTTAATTTGGTGCTCTACGTTGTGAACTTGTGACCATTTTTCTTTCCAGTTTCATGTTTCGACTGTAGTCTCGAATCTAAACCTCTAAGAATTGCTTGGTCATCGGCTGGGAATGTTAATTGGAAGTTCGTTTTGATTTGATGAACATAATGGTCGGCGGAACACAAGTTTCCTATCCCCGGGTGGTCCAAGTTTGCAACGGAAGTGAAATCAGGACTACTGAGAAAAGTGCTGATCTCAATCGGATTGGAGAAGTGGGACATGCAAAGTGGTTCAGAGGTTGGTATCTTGCCACCACAATGAAAGATTTCTATGCAGCCTTGACCTCTTTCTTAAAGAGTAGAACGGCTATTTCTGTCAAGACTCCCGGGCCCCGGCTTGTGCAAGAGTGTGAGCTAACAGGTAGAAAGAATAAGTACTAATAGGTACATTGACCACATACAAAAGGTAAGGTAAGACGATACACACATAGCAAGTACGGAAAAAACACATCCCCAGCCTAAACTGCGAGCCCGACCCCTCTCCCACCTGACCTGTCCAACTCCCCTCTCCAGTAGTAGGCTAACTATAGTCATTGCATTTGTTTTAAAAGGAGGGACCATTAATTCGTTGCATTTTATATCTTCTCAAGGACTTTCACAATTATAATTTACAACTGAAAAAGATGTACATGAATTTAATTGCCACTGCAGTTAAAATGACGAAGATAAGTTAATTCTCAAGTATACCTTACGACGGCCCCATAGCGGTTGCATTTGCAAGTCGGCAGTATTGGCAACAAGTCCTTTAGGTAATGGCTCACTTCCAGGAGGCCGGCATTGACTCTTGAACAGAAAAATAACAACTATAATAATAGGAATAAGAACAGATATATAGAACCATGATAATTGACTAGTAGTTTGACTAACAGTGAATAGATAAATAAAATTCTGAGACGTCTGCAGATTGCTGCTAAAACTTCAAATTTTGGGAGGGACAGAAGAAAGACCTGAGACAAGTAATTCTGGTCCTCCTGCTGCATTTGTGTTTGCTGTTGCAGTTGTGGTGATGGTTGTGGCTGCGTTTGCGGTGATGGTTGTGGTTGTGTTTGCAGTTCCGATTGATGTTGTGGAGATAGATGTGGTTGTATGTGTGGTTGAGGTTGAGGTTGTGGAGATGGCTCATGTTGTATTTGTGGTTGTGTTTGCAGCTCCAATTGACTTAGCGGAGATGGCTGTAGTTGTGTTTGCGGTTGCAGTTGAGGTTGTGAAGATGGCTCCTGTTGCATTTGTGGTTGCAGCTGCGGTGAAGGTTGTGGAGATGGTGAAGGTTGCAGGTTCTGGAGGAAAGGGAAGTGCTTAGTATGGGTATAACAATAATGTTTCTACTCTCTGTCCCAAAATTAATTAATCTGTTTACTGTTTACTTCTATATGGAAATAAATGAGCCAAATGCTTTGTCAACTTCTTAACCAAGAACCAAATCCTATTTTTGAAGATCTCAAATTTTACAAATTCATTGTGTGGTTAGGGTTTAAACCCTTTGTTTTTCATTTATAAGAGAAAATACAATATATGGGCCCAAAATCTAACAGAAAAATAAGAAAGTAAACCCTTGACTCTAGACAATATTACAAAAGAGAACTCTAACAGAGGCTGATGTAACTAGTACTCCAAAAATTGGGTTCAAAGAAGATGAAGCAAATGGTACCTAGTACTGAGCCAAAGGTCAAGGGTCTAAATGCTAGTTGAAGGTTGTTTGAAACAGGTTCACAAGTCTCCGGTAAATCAAGATCGAAGTCTAGGGGCAAAAACAAGTTTCATAATTATTGCAAGAAGGGACATGTAGTTGATGATTTCTACAGGCTGTTAAAAAAGAGAAAAACAAAGGTCAAAAGTGCCTGGAGGTCCCATGTTCAAATCCAAGGAGGAATAAAAATCCCCTTGTGGCCACGGAGGTTCAAATGCGGTGACTCCGGGCTACCCGCAAAGTGCAGCTGTGCTGTTTTGCAATTTCCTAGAGATTGAACGGTCGGATCATCGTGATGTTTGGACAGAGGCTTCACAGCATATGTATCTACATTCTCAATGGTCTAAATCTGTTCCAGGGGTCCAGAGATCGTGCTTTTTATGTTCAACATAGAGCAGTTCTCGGGGTCATATTTCTTCCTCTTTTTCTTTTAGTTTGATTCCATAACTTTTGATGATTTGTACCAAGAGTATGATGATTGTTGTGTGCCTCTAGTTTTATTTAGAGAAGACGTTTGTATTGCTTTATTTATTGATGGTAGTGGACTTTAAGCAGCCTAAGGGTCCCGTCGTTTTTACCGTCGCCTTGAGAGGTTTTCCACACTAAAATCCTTGTTCTACGTGATTCATAGACCCAAAGGGAAGGCTGTGAAGACCATCATAATGGATTAGCGTACTTTTTGGCCTAGTGTGGTTTATTCCACTAAAACCACCAAGCCACTTGTACACGTTTTGAGGCTAGTTGATGGTGAGACTACTTCTGCAATGGGGTTTATATATGGAGCTATCAGCTATGGATGAGGCAAAAGAGAAAATAGCCAAGAACGTGGATGAAGAAGTGTCCTCTTACAATGCAACCTACCATATTCTACAAGATTCTATCTGTACACATTGTTTGAAAGGTTTCATGTCAAAAATGATATACCCTTTAGAAGAATATATCCACGGTGACTTGTGATTTACACTACAAAATGAAAAAAGAATTCCTCCAATTTTCAGTTTCCAGCAGTAGGTTCATATATTTTGGGACATGAGCATTAATAGATGCCCAACAAAGTATGCAATAGTTACTCTTGAGTGGTGGATGAGATTGAAGCAATTATTTTGAGATTGAGAGATTAATCAAGATATGGAAGGCAGAATAGTCAAATGCAAAGGAAAAACAAACCTCAACTATTACTTTTGGATATCTTGAGCCTCGTATTGCCTCTATGCCCCGTTTTAAAGATTTCTGCACAGGAACACTCATCTTTATTAATATATGCAACAAATCTCAAGATGATATCAAACATCAATTACAGAAATGAAGGGTAAATATTTGATAAAGATAAAACTTTAAAAGGTAGTTTCATAGATTCTCCTTCAAACTTTCTAGATTGCATCTAAAAATGTCAAGAAAATTTTATGATATTCCATCGTTAACTTTTCACCACTTTCCATGTTATTTTCCTGTCAGATCCAGAAAATAGTAATGTGTGACTGTGATTCTCTGACAAGGACAAGGTACAAATTTCATTCAAGGCAATGGTCATGTAAAAGAAAAGCCCGAAGATCCTAAAACAAAGGACTCCTGAATAGATCATAATTAACTTGACAAACACATGTACACCGACACCCAAATTCTCGTCCTACATAACTAAAGCAGTAAAATAGATATGGATTGAAGTAATATGAATACCTCTGTTTGATCTCTACCAATAACTATTGTGCCAACCAATAATGCTAGGCAGAGTAGAAACGTAGCAGGTAGAAAGAAGCTATAATATGATCCCGTACTTCTTGAATTTTTCAGCCATGAGGCCTGGATTAAAAAAGAACCAAATTTAAAGTTATTTATGTCACCAAGTGTGGATAAGTAAAGAAAACGTGACAACACCCTAATGTGGTGTCTTTCAAACAATATGAACTAGTATCAAAAACAGGAAGAAAAGAAAACAAAGTGTTCTGAAACTCTCAGTATCGCTTCTTTTGAAGTTCTCCAGAAAGCTTCAGAAAAGTCGATGTAGCCTCTTTCCGACCATCTTTGCAGTGGATTGATAGAATGACAACATGGAAATAATAACAACCACTCCCACCTATGCCTCGGTAGAACTGTTGGAAAAGAGGCATCATCTGCCTTCAAATTAGATATTCGCAAGATTACCTCCATTAAAGTAAAATTGTGACCAGAGAGACTAAAGTAATTGACTTTGAAATGAATATTTTTCCATTTTTATAGCAGAGCTCATTTAAACAGAAAAATAAAAAAATTATGAAATGCACAAAATAGGAATCAACTAGTTGGATACTGTTATTAAAATATACAAATTAATGAAAGCTAACTTTTTTTTAAATGATTAAACAGTAACTCTAATCCAATGCCATAAACATGGCAATGGAAATGAACTTTCTCAAATAAAGCCGTGACAAGAGTACGTCCGATAGCTACCTAAGAGATACTAGACACGCCAAGAGATCTGAGCCATCATTACTTCTTTGTATTTGAAGAGATGAGATGTTTCAATATCTAGAAAGATAAGGAATTATTTCTTTGTATTTGAAGCCATACCAAGCAGCTACATTCTTTTGAATGAAATTCTTGTTTGAGTCATGGTCATAAAGAAACGGTTGTTAAATTTCTTTACGAAAGTCAAAGTTCCATGCTGCTATCGTCTGAACCAATTCAAGCACAGGATTGCATAGAACCAGCTTAAATCCTTGATGAAAGAGTATTTTCTAAGGCAACTATCAACATTACCATCATACTCAATTTTTTAGAGAGGATCTAATTATGAGAGAGAGAGAGAGAGAGAGAGAGAGATTTGAGAGAAATGTGTATTAACTCCACATTTTTCCTACAAAATGGAATTTGTAGCAATCTGAAACTGCTATGGCTTGAATTACACCAACAGCGGGAACTAAGTCTAAGCCTCCGCAAACAAGTACTGGCACCAGTTCAGGATACAATTGCTTAGAGCTTCAGCCAGTCAAATTGTGGAATCAAGTCACACCATTAAATATGACAACTGCATAGCTTTTGATGGATTACATAGTTAAAAATCCTTAATTACCTGGTCAAAATGATGGGTTTATCTTCTGTCTAAACTTTCCTTCTCTCTTTTGTCTTTTTTTCCTTGTTAAATAGTATAAGAAGATTCTATTAGATAGAAAGACAGTAAATGCATGAGAAGGGAGCAAGAATTCTCCAAAAATGTAATATAACAAGAGGACATTATTTCTCTCAAAAGGCACATGCACTTGCATCTGCAGCTGAGGTATAGAAACTTACTGCACTTAAAAATCCAACATTTCTCTCAATCCTAATTTTCACAAGGATTTTCAAGATGCTACAGCACAGAAGATTTTTGTAAAATGTCTTGAATTCAAACCTGAAATTGGTAACTGGATCTTTCACTGAACGTAGAACGATGGACTAACCAGTCACCAGTGTCATCCAAGGAACGAGATGAAGATTATACATGAAGTATGTCATTTATGGCTCTTTAGTATTCTCAGAACTGCTTTGATTTTGCTTCCAACCTAAATTTTTATAGATCTTGTTTTATTTTTGTATGTGAAAAGCCTAGCCTATTCACATTCAATGTGTGAGCTGTTTTTGTTTTTGCTTCCTACCTTAATTTTTTTACATAAATCTTGTTTTCTTTTTGCATGTGAAAACCCCATCATATTCTCATATCAAGTGTGCTGGTCATTCCCTCATCTTTTAAGTCCCAGCATTACATCTTCATTGGATCTATCTCCATTTTATATATAAATAAATTATTATTCCAAATTTAGTTTGTCCTTCAATGGCTATATCATTTCTCTTCTCTATACTCTTTCTCCCTCTTTTCATTACTCACCAAAATCTCTCTCTTCATGAGTTTAAACTTCAATGATATTCATACATATGTGTTGGTGGCGATGCGTACTTTCATAAATGGTCTCCTTTCATACATATCATGAGTTTAAAGTTAGCTATAATGCAACCTATCATATTCTACAAGATACTTGATAATATTACCATGAATTGCAGTGATCTTAGACCTTGTTTGCACAACTTTATAGCATGGAAAGAGAGGTGGATTAGCAATGGGCATCAAAAGTTGGTTGTTTTGACTATTTAATACACTACACTTGAATAAACACTTGGACAACCGGTATCCTTACTCCTCTTCATCTAAAACTCACAGGTTATAATAACAGAAGTACCTTCCCTGCAAAATGGGAAGGCTGCTTACAAATACTTCCTTTCCCCAACACAACACTATGGATACGAAGCCAAAGAGTGTTAATCAACACCAAGTTACATTTTCCGATGTATATGTTCAGTACCAAGTTTTATCAAGTATCAGCAGTTTCTAATCATAAATGGTTTCCAGAATATTTGGAGTTTTAAACTTTAGAATGAAGCACCAAATCATGAGATAATCATTGAACTTTAGATCAGAAGATGCACCACTTCTTTATGTTTCTTATGACTGAGTCACATTTTGAAATATTTACCCGACCACTCCAAAATCTACAACTAGTTACATTTTGATGTATGAGATCAAACCCTATAAATCACTTCACAGAACAAATTTCTTATTGGGTTCATGATAAAAATTTATCACCAACATGATCATAGGATTTGTAACGCAAGCGATTATCAAGTTCCTCAAATGTCAATTTTTTGATGTTTTTCGATAGGACGAATCTTCCAGCACTTCCAAGAGCGAAAACCAGCAAGACAAACATCGATACCTCATACTTAAGAGCGAGCTCAAATAACATTACGCACAATACAATTTTCATGCATGAAACCCAAATTATCATTAATATCAGTATGTGCATGCAGGTGTCGAGAGAGATATAGAGATGGTGCTTACAAATCTTGAAGCCATCGTTGAAATCAAGACGACCCGTTTCACGTAAGTTATGCTTTTAATATGAATTCAACGATCAAACAAAATTTCAAACATAAAATTCCCTAACCTAGAGTAAAAATAGAATCGAGAGAAATAAAATTATGAAATTGATCAGAAGTTTTACACAAAAACCATCGTAATACATTCAATTCCATAGAAATCTTACGAACCCCAAAAAACAGAGAGGAGGAACGGAGGATCTGCCGATTTGCATGGCGAAATACTGGAGAAAAATGGAGGGTTCGAATGTGCAAAATTTGAAAGTTTGAGTAAATTACACAAATAGTCCTTGTATTATATAGGAATGGATGTCTTATAACACTGCCTAATCAAGGTTTTAAAAAACAGAATCGGGCCTCGAGGTGTTTTTCCTCGGCGAGGCATAAGCCTCAGGCGGTCCGAGGTGTAAAGGGTTGTCTGACAGTTGATGAATGATTTGGTGCTGAATGATTAATTAGCTCTCGTGATATAGTGCAAAATAAAATATAATTATTTGGTAATTGTTTACAATAAAATTAAGGTTCTTAATGGTTAAGGGAGACCTATGATACAAAATCATTCAGAAAGTTTTTGGACCATTAAGAGACATATTTTTTTTACCAAACAAGATTTACCTCTTAACGATTCAGATGTTGCCTCTTAATATAACTATTAAGATATAAACAAACAACCGAAGCCAATATTAAATTACGCAATTCCACTGTAATTTCAATAATCACTAACCTTTTAACTCTTATTTCTTAGATTAACTCATTAATTAGTTAAACTTATACAAAATTAATTAAAAAAACTTAATAACTAAGTGGGACTTTACCAAACGCTTATCCGAATAAGCACTTATCAAGTCACCTTATCATACCGGATGAATATAAAAAAGACCAAGAATCTTATTCAATAAATGAAAAGATCAGGACCGAAAATCTTATCCGATAAGTAAGAGCAACGATTCTTACCTGGTTAGTACTTACCGAGTAAATTTTAAAATAAATCAATGCAAACCCCATAAGCCAAAAAAGCATAATTTCCAACCTTTAATAACACCTATGGAACCTATAGAATGAATATGGTTCATAAACCATCACCTAACTGAAGCACAATAGCACACGCTTCATTTGCAGATTTTCCTGGGTCAGAAATATTAGACCTCAATGCTGAATTTGCATACTTTGATAGATCGAGAAAATAGTTGAAATTGGTTCGTTTGTCTTTACCCAAGTGTGAACTTCAGACGACTCTCAAGCGGTTCCATGGCTTCTTACTGTATTTCTGGGTCAACCCAACCCGAATGGGAAGAAGGGGTCTGCAATTTAGAGAACACAATGTTAATGACGAATATTCTTACTGTATTTTAGCACGAATGAACTCCTGGTATTAGATTGGATTTATGTTTAATGATGAATATTCTTATCAGAAGATTCACCTCGGTTCCAACTGCACTATCAGATTCCAATCTTATCAGAAAAGTTAAACATTTGATCTTACAGGGACTACATTTTGAAGCTCTTCAAGTTTATAGAAATCAACCCGATCTCCATGTCGACGCTTTCATCTCCATTCTTCCTTCACTCATAAAAGCTTGTTCCCTCTCTCAGACCCACCATGGCCTCGGTCTTCAGCTTCATAGCCAATCCCTTAAAATGGGAATTCATTCAGAATCCGTTGTTTCAAATTCAACCATCTCTTTCTATGCTAAATTTCCAGATATAAAATCTGCACGTAAGGTGTTCGATGAAATGCCTCAGAAAGATTTTATATCATGGAACTCCATGATAAATTGCTTTGCTCAAAATGGGAACTGTGTGGAATCATTGGAGATGCTTAAAGAAATGTATGAATGCGGGTTGGTAGCAAAGCCGGAGTTGCTTGCTAGCATTCTTTCTTTATGTGTGCAGTGTGGGTATACAAGGGTAGGAAAAATGATTCATGCTCTTTCTATTGTTGATGAAAGATTTGAGAAAATGGTGTTTTTGTCAACAGCACTGTTGGACTTGTATTGGAGGTCTGGGGATTCAGTGATGGCTTTTCATGTTTTTGATGCAACGGAGGATAAAAATGAGGTTTTCTGGACTTCCATGATTATGGGATATGTTGGAAACTGCGATTATTTGTTGGCATTTGATTGCTTTCGGCAAATGCAGGTTGAAGGGATTAAGCCTAATAGAGTGACACTTATTACTATTCTACCAGCATGTGTTGCGTTAGGCACCATTGGACTTGGGAAAGACATTCATGGGTATGCTTTCCGTCATGGGTTTAATTCAGATATTCGACTGTTATCAGCTCTAATTCACCTGTATTCTAAGTGGGTAGATTCCCTTTCGCTTGCAAAACTAATATTTGAATGGTCAACTCAGAAAGACATTGTGCTTTGGAGTTCCATTATCTCAGGTTGCTCTCAGCATAAGGAAAGTGCTGAAAACTCGATATTACTTTTTAATCAAATGCAGAAAGAGGGAGTTGAGCCGAACTCAGTAACCCTATTGGCTGTACTCACTGCTTGTACTAATATACCATCAATTCGCCTCGGAAGTGAAATACATGGCTATGTGCTTAAGTCAGGGTTGGATTCTGATTTGTCCATAACAAACTCTCACATTAATATGTACTCAAAATGCGGTTCTCTTAAAGATTCGCATCAAGTTTTTCGAGAAATGGCTACACCAGATTGTGTTTCTTGGAGTGCACTTATCAATGCATATGGTGTCCATGGTTACGGTGCAGAAGCTTTACAACTCTTCAATGATATGAAAGAAAACGGGATGCAGCATGACTCGATCACATTGCTTGCTGTTTTATCAGCATGCAACCATTCTGGGCTAGTTGAAGAAGGGCATAAACTGTTCTCTGAAGCTGTGAAAGATGATAAATTATCGGTGAATTTGGAGCATTATGCTTGTTATATTGATCTTCTTGGAAGGGCAGGGAAGTTTGATTGTGCTCGTGAAGTTTTGAGAACAATGCCGATGAAACCTAGCCCAAAAATTATGAGCTCTTTGGTTTCATCTTGTAAGCTTCATGGAAGGTTAGATGTTGCAGAAACCCTGTTAAGTTGGTTTATAGAATCAGAACCTGGTAACACTGCTAACCATACATTGTTGAGTTTGATCTACGCTGAATTTGGTAAATGGTTAAACGTGGAAGGCATTCAGAGGAATATGAAATCAAGGGGATTGAAAAAGAGTTGTGGGTACAGCAGACTTGAATACTAGTTCAAGATTGTCATTTAACCAATGACCCCCTTTGCTCCTTGAAAACAAGTGACAAAATGAACAATAGGTGCAGTTTATTGAAATGGAGAGCACATGACATTGAGATTCCAATTCACTGCAGGCAGGCTGTTTTCAAAAAATTTGTGCTACCATTTGCACTTGGGGAATTCCATGCCTCCTGTCCAACTCTTGCAGATGAAATGAGGTTAGATGTTTGATTAATGTTATTTATCTTTTTCACAGTTTCCTTTTGGTTAGTAAACACATATAAGTGCATTTTTTATCGAGCTAAATAACTTATAAAACGTCCTTTGAGTTAATTTAAGGATTTCGAGGGTGTTAGATTTTGGTATAATCTATTTGGTAGTCAAAGAGTTATATTTCTTTTTTAGCAACAGATGGAGTAGTTATCATACTCCAACATTTAGCAATCACATAATTTACCTAAATCCTTTGATTAGTTCTACTGTTCCAACTTGTGTTTCTTGAGGGTATGTTTGGCATGCGGAGGGTGTTGGTGATTTTAGCGTCACCGGCTATTTAAGTGTAATTGGAATTAACACGAGTGCCAATGGGTTTTAAATTGTGATCTAGTACAAGTTAGGTGGTGCAATGTGCACACTTGTATATAAGACGAGTTTGATTTCGGATAAGACAAAAAGGCGGTGGTCAAGGGGGCTGTGCCCCCTTGCGGGTTCCAATTGTGCAACACCCTTGGCGGTGGTCCCGCTGATCATTCAGCGGGCGGGGTCGAGGGGCAGTGCCCCAAAAGCTCTACAGAATTTTGGAGTTGGAATACAGTGGAAAAACGTGATCAAACTTAGTAGAATTGACCAAGTGTTATTCAGACTTAGACTATCTCTGGTTGGTAAGTCCAGAGATAGCACTATCTCTATTTAGGGACCGTCTCTGGTTGGTAAGACTAGAGATAGTGCTATCTCTGGTTAGTCTAAGGACCATCTCTGGTTGGTAACAAAGATAACACTATCTTTGGTTGGTCTAACGATCATCTCTGGAATGTCCATCTCTGTACATATACGTCTAGAGTTCTGGATCTGCACTTTTTTCTTGGTCTTATCCATGAACGGTTATAACCGTTTGAAACTGATTCAAACTTCCCAAAAACCATCATTTTGTTAATCTTATCCATTTTTCAAATGGAACAAGTATATATATGAGATATACTTCATTTTTGGGGTTCACTCGGGAGCTGAACATTCTAATATTCTTTAGCAATTTGACTTGTTTTTGTGTCTAAATTTGAAAGTGTCCTTAAGGATTATCCTGGATTGAATTTCGTGATACTTAGGCATAGGGTTGAAATATCAATTCGGAAAGTGAACTTACACGATCCTTAAATAATCTAGATTCCAATTACCCATTTACCCTATAATCCTAATTTCTCTAACATAGGGGATCGGATAGGCAAGAATGAGGTAGTCAGATGAAAGGATTGTGAAACTGAAAGGTTTTAAGATTTAAATTTAACATGGTATTTTAGTAATTTACCAAACTTGCACTCAGTCCTGTCCAGTCCCAGTCTTATTGTCGCACCAAACATGGGACAAGAAGTTTTTGTTCTGGCATGTCATTCACTCTTGGATGTTAACTGAACTCACATGTTTCGTTTGCAACAGGATGAAAAATGTAGAGGCAGCAAAAGATGCTGGCATTGTCGGTATTCAATTCAAGAATGCAAATTTTTCTCGGTTATTTTTTAGAATGACCTTTTACCATATTATTTTAAATGCATGACCTTCTGACAAATTTTGAGGCATTCTTGTGTCAGGAAAATACATTTTTTTGTTAGGCAGAGACGTTCTTATTTTTGTTAGAAGGTCATGCATTTAAAAAGTATCAAGAGGTTATTTTCTTAAATAACTCAAAATTTTGCTGCATTGGATCAACATTGCAACGCAGAGTAACCCAAGACCTTGTTGGCCTTTATGAGAAAAGGGCTAGGAAGTCTGTCTCAATATAATGGTACAAATGCTTACTAACTAGTATTCATAAAACTATTCAACTTTTTTGAATGATTGTATGGTTCCATTTATGCTACCAAGTGATGATAGCTAAAGGATGCATCACATTATGGAAAGCGCAAAATGGGTAGTCTTGTAGATGAAAGTATCAAGCATATAAACGAGTGTCATGGATTGCAAGTTCTAGATGTCATGATAATGCAAGAGATAAAAGCAATTAAAGGTAAACTTTTAGCCTCCAACAGATTCTCCAAAATGGAGAAATAAATATTTTGGGGTTGGGCAAATTTTAGTGTCCAACAGATTCTCCAAAACGGAGAAAGATGGGAAAGTTCTCAAAATTTGGAGAACTTTCTAAAACTGATGATAAGAGTCGATAAAAGGTTGCCAAGATTAGAGTATTAAAACCCTACAGCTTTCGAGAGGCTGCAGTCTCTCCCTATTCAATTGTAGATAATTGAATTATAATAAATTGATCTATATTCCAAAAAGGTAAACAATGAAGGTATTTAAACTAATAAGTAAAAGACTCCTAGAATAAAACGGATCCTAAAGAAAAACAAATAAAACAATTAAAATAAACATAAGATAGTTATATGTAAACTTGAGGACTTATGACTTATCCAAGACTTGTTTTATCTTTATCTTATTAATTTGTCCTCCTCTCTTTTCTTCTTGAATATGTCTTTATACTCTGAAGTCTATCAATACCTCCCCCCCCCCCCCCAAAAAGACTTGCAACTTAAAGAAGGAAATTGCATCTTCAACACTTCACAATCTTCCCAGGAGGCTTCAAACATAGGTAAATTCTTCCATCTGATTAATGCCTCGTCTTCCATCTTGTGTTGTTCGTACTTGTAGCCTTGTAGGACATCTTCCGGTTCTACTATCATTTCCATATCGTCATTCAATTGATTTGGCAATTGATTCAATTGATATCAGCATAGATATCTTAATATTGAGTTGGATACAACATCACTCGTCACATCAACATGGTAACCGGTCAATGCTTCAACCTGTTACCCGATACTTAAATGTTTAAAACTTTACATCTTAGGTACCAAAATAGAAGCTTTGAAAGTACGTTACCTAAAATAGGAATCAAGTTAAAGTACGTTATTTTTTCATTCAATTTATCCTTAATTAAATCTTGTACGTTACATTGTTATTACAAAAATCGAAACCCACTTTGTTTGGGTTAGGCTCTTGTTAAGTATCGACCGTCTTTCAAATATATGTATTATATGTGTTATGTCATATAGTACGATTCGAATCTTGATTTTGTTAGTTGCTGAAATATTTGAGGCTCTTGAATCAAGCCTTAGCAACAAGTGAGGCCCAATAATATGTATAATTGTCTACTCATTTTGTGAATAAGCTTTTTGTGGTAAATTTTGATCATTTTCTTTTATTATCATTTTAATTTGAAGTGCATAAATGATTGATTATCAAATAGCAATTACTTGATTATGTTATGTATTTACAAAGTGTAATTTGTCTGAATCAACTTAAATAAACAAGAATGGTTTATTAGAAATCAGGGGTCGTTTACGAAACACTGATTTGGGTACACATTTATCAAGTTATATTACTTTATCGGATGAATAATTTTATGGCGTTAAGAGCGAAGCTTAAGATCGAGAGTAATACCTAGTAAGTGAATGTGATAGCTCTTACCATGATTAGTGCTTACAAGGTAAATTATTGCATATAATGCCGTTTTTGTGTATTAAAGTCTTACCCGTTAATTAAATAAGTAATACTGTTGAATTTTACCTGTAAGTATTTATCGAATAAGTGTTTGGGTGATCAACTCTTTAGTCATCTAATTCATTGTGTGAAAATTGAAAACATTTTTAGTCTTATGGACACAAAGGTTAACTACATATTACTCATTTACTTGATGATTATGTAAAATTACCCATTTACAGATTATTCATGATTTAGAAACATTAGATTATATTAGAAGGGTATTCGCATAATGCAGCGAGATACATCTCGATTTTAATGTTTCGTTTTTTTTTTGTCCCACTTGATGTTATAACAAGCTCTGGTTAGAAAGACCAGAGGAGCTCTGGTCATGATTATTGAAAAATATTCTAAGTATGGTTTGGAACCAGAGGCCCGATGGACACTTTGAAACCAGAGGCCGATGGACTGGAAAACCATTATTTTTCTAAGTATGGGATTTTGAACAGGAGGGCCGATGGACTCAAACATGATGCGATTCTTTTATTATTCTTTATTACGATTGAGAGATTTTTTTTTTTATAAATGTTTTTGGTGATCTCACCCTGCATAGCATGAAAAAGGGAATCTCACGAGACTTTTGTCTAACCCTCATTTTATGTTTTAAAATATGTATGCAGGTAATATCAGTTATAATATCGATAAGGGAAAAAGCATTATATGATTACTTCCTTTAKGTGCTTAAATGTTGAAGACCATATCTAGATGTGTTTTGGAGAAGAGCAATGCTAGTTTACAAATGCATGTATTTTGGAATTTTTAAATTATGCAATTTGTATTGTAAACCTGTAGCACAAACTCTTGTAATTTTGGACCTACGGGGAATCTATGTATTCTATGAATGAATTCTATGTAATATGCAATGTCTGAAGATTGGGGTGTCACATTATGTGGTTTTGAAAAAATGATAATATTTTATATTTGAATAAAATATAAATATGAAGATATATCATAAAAACTGGAAAAAAAAACTATTGATATCAGTATCAAACTAACTATTTAAAAATTCTCATTTTTTTGTATTTTTTTTAATTCATTCTTTTATTTTTGGTTTAATAATATAATTTTTTATAAAGATAATAATTAAGTAGTTTGTTAGAAATCAATGATTATCCTAATTATATTTTAGATTTTTTATATTTAAATGAGATATTTATCTCGTATTTGATTATGTTCATCTATAGTTAGTTACACGAATTCAAAAATGAAACTTTAACAAGTTGTACTTATGCACAATTTACTTGTGATATTGAATTTTAAGTAATATGCATCAATAAACAGTACTTTATGCATAAAAATGGTTTTTAAGAATTTATGTCAAATGCTTTATAATATAGTATAGATTAATCCTCCTAGATTTGCTGACGACTGCAATCATGAATTAGTTTGACCTACATATTTATGCATAATGTTAATCGTAATGACAAAGAAGGCGAGGAAGGGAGTTCTACAACTCCACAAGGAATAGAAACACAACCAAATCACATCCAAAAGACAAGCAAATGGGTTACTGATAACTCTTATTTTTTATTTATTTCCTCCATTTTTGCAATTATTAAATACTTAATTTTCTTGTTTTTACCCGTTTATTCTAAAAGTTTTAAAAAAATGATGAAACACAAATGAAGAAATTTTATTTCGAAAACCTGCATTATCTGGCAACTGACCACTGTGTCACCACTGTGGGATGTTCACGAATTTTGTTGTTTTCTGCTTTTGGAGGATGAATTGCTTGAAGATCTTGTCCAAAGATTTCCTCCGGCTGTAGTTGGTTGTAGAGTTGTACCTTTATATTATTTTAAGTTTTTATTTAATGGTCTTTGTCCCAAGGTTTTTGTGTACTTATTTTCCTTTGGATAAATGTTTTAACCTTATCCATTCCCCCTATATAAAGAGGCCTTGAGGCTCATTTGAAAATCATCCATTATTAATATCTCTCTCTCTTTTATCATCCCTTTATCATCCTTAAAAGTATTTTAGCTAAAGTTCTTCTCTTAGCTTTAGCTTAGCATTTTATTTTCTTGTATTGAAGTTGTAATCTGTTTGTAGTTTATATATTAATGCATGTTACATTTCAGTCTTATTTAATGTCTTCTATTATATTTATTATGTTTATTATGAGCTACTTTACTCGAATGAGTGTGGGTGTGAGTTTAACTTATGATTTTTATACAATATTGGATGTTTTTACTCTTTACCATTTCGTAAACGTGGTCATTTAAGACGGGACTTAAACTCGACGCGGATAAGTCGATCACTTTTGAAATGTTAATATTATATCTTAGACCCAGAGATGGGCGGATCCGAAATACGGCTTAAGTGATGTACAAAGAACTCGAGATAGTCTTTGATAATTACATAGAGATGCAAATTTTGTATATATTTAGCTAAGGATTGAGCGATGGTTATTTTTATCACAAAGAGATTTGGGTATGAATTTTATTTCTTCTTTTTTTAGCTAAATCGGCAAGTTTCGAAGTGGTGAGCGTAAGAACTTTGTGGAATTTTATGGGGACCGTTTGTAAATTTTCACTTTCGAGAGGTTGGAATTATTATGAACAACTCATAAGATTCTAGCCATTTTATTGTTAATTTTATCTTAAAGAACCCTTACACACATGTCAATTCTTTAGTCTAAAAGTTTATTTCGCTATTTTAGTCTTATAAAGCTTGTTATAAACAAAAATGCAACTTTATTCACAAATCGAAACACGAGCAAGAAGTTCATGAAAGTCTTTGAATCTCAGTAGTCCAATCCCTGTGGAAACGATCTTGGTATTTTACCACTTTATTACTTGCAAGCGATCATAATGTCGGCGTGCACTTGCACCGCCACTGTGGGGACTTTGTGCTCACTGTGTGAACACGAACGATTCTAGTCTGTCAGCTACACATAGCCTTACCATTAAGAACAACCCACGACTTGCCACAAGCTAAACAAAACGAAGTTACAACAAAAACCAAAAAAACCGAAGCTAAAGGAAAAACGAATAAAACCAAGCGACGAAAAGGCTACCCGCTCAAACCTGACCCTACACCAGTCCAACCAAGAAATGGAAAGCATCTTTGAACATTTGGAAACCCATTGGAACAATGGTAGTTGAAGTTGGAAAAGTTTATCAATTTGATGGTGAGCCCCGCTAGAATGAACCATGTTGTTTGGATTATTCCAAATTAAGTATAGAGTAGTCCAAACCCCCACCTTTCATAACTTCTTTTTCGAACTTAGTAAGGCTTGAGAATCCATACATACCAGTAGATCTTCCCACAATAGCGTCAACAGATAACTCCATGCCCACCAATTGAAAAGGCCATTCCATCATTGACGGGTAGAAAGGCAATTGATGAAACAATGTTTGACCGTCACAACAGTGGCAAAGAAGAGGGTGAAGATCAATGCCTTGGTTGTGAAGAATGCCTCTCATCGGAATCCTTTTCCACCGAAGCCTCCAAATGAAAGTGCAAACCTTTGTAGGAACCAGTTTACACCGTTGAGTTTGCAATGCATACTCCAGTACCTGCAAAGAATTTAAGTCAATCATGCTCCTTAAAGCCTTTTAGCGAAAAAGACTCCATCCTCTCCAAGCCACCACATGTCCACATCCAACTATCCCTCTTTTGCTCCCTTAAAACAAAGTGGCTAACCAAAGAACCCAATTCCTCGAGCTCTCAACCAATCTCCCTCGTGGCTCCTTGGACCAATTGCACATTCCCCCGCCAAAACCCATCAACCTGATATATTCGATTGCTCACTGACACCCTTTTATCCCTTTCCACACTAAAAAGCCTGGAAAAGTTCTTACAAAGCCTAAAGTTCCCCACTCACTTATCTTTCCAAACGGAAGAGTCCTTGCCACTTTCAATTTTTTTTCTTGAAAGAGTCCGAGAATGGGATACCAATTCGTTCCAAGTCTATTCAAACTCAAATTACCGACCCCATGCACCCATATAGCCAAAGCGCCTATTATTTCCTAAACTTGAAAGACCTCCATCCTCTGCAAACACGCTTTTTTATAACCTGAACCTACAATTCATCCTTACTATACAAGAATCTCCACCACCATTTCCGATTAGGCCCCAATTTGCAGCCCGAAGGCTACCCACCCTGAACCCCCCGATGAATGCCATTCAAAACCGTGTCCCATTTAATCCAATTCCACTTATGATGAGAATTGTCCCCTCCCTCCAAGAAAATTTCTCTTCATTAATTTGAAAAATATAATAAACTGAAATCACCTTCAAGACACGTAAAATGGTAAAACAGCCATTTGAATAAATAATTGGTTAGGATTGTATGTTTTTATATTAGGAATTATCTAAAACAAGACGATTTGGTGTAGATTATGGATATGTCGACTTCACTGATTACATAATTCTCATTTATTATTTAAAATTATGTAAAAAATAATACCGTATCTATACTATATTATAAAATATTAAATTTCTCTTTAAAAAACCACCAATTTTTCAAAGAATGCAACTACTAAAGTATTAAGTACAAAATCACTGATACAAATAATTTTTTTATATTTTTAATATATATATATATATATACACACACACACACACATTAGAAGAGTACTCGCACAATTCAACGAGATACATCTCGGTTTTAACGTTTCGTTTTTTTTGTCTCAGTCGATGTTATAATACAGTTTTATATGGTTTTGAGGAAAATAATGATGTTTTTATTTTGAATAAGATACAAATATGAAGATATATCATAAAAAAATTGATAAAAAAAAATTGATATTAATATGAAATTAACTATTTAAAATTTCTTCCTTTTTTGTGTATTTCTATAATTCATTTTTTTATTTATGGTTTAATAATGTAATTTTTTATAAAGATAATAATTAAGTATTTTGTTAAAACTCAATGATTATCCTAATTATATTTTATATTTTTTTATTTAAAATGAGATGTTTATCATCTATTTGATTATGTTCATATGCAGTTAGTTACATGAATTCAAACATGAAACTTTAATAAGTTGTACCTCCGCACAATTTACTTGTAATCTTGAATTTTAAGTAATATACATCAATAAACAGTACTTCATAAAAGTTTTTGTAAAATGCTTTATGATATAGCATAAATATAGATATTAATCAATATTTTTAAAACTTAATCTTAAATAGTTTTTTCTACAAAATAATTTTTAAAATTTTTTCACGAAAAGCAACAGTCCAATTTACACGGAAGCCCAATTAAGCCCAGAAAACGCCAAGTCGGCTAAACGTCATGAACAGAAATCCTCTTTCGTACGAGAAAACCCCAGACAAATCTAGGGTTTCATAAATCGCCAACCTAATTCAACGTCTATTTCCTGCTTCCAACATGAGTCTAACTCAATTCTCAATGGTAAAGCCTTGTTCCTCTTTCTTGTAGATGTTAATGTTTCGATTTTGTTGATAATATGGGTTTTAGTTTGCTGGAGTGTGTATGTTTCTTTTGCTCATGGAATTGCTAGCCTGATGCTATGCTGATAAATACAATTCAATTCTCAAAGTTTTATCTAATTACATTGAAGAGATGATTATACCTTGCAAACAAGTGGAATGTGATGGCAAAGAATAGATTAGGTACCTGAATTTTATGATATCAGTATGAGGATCAATATGCTCATGAGACCTAATTAGAGGAAGTAAGTAAGTGGTGCATGTATTTTCATCATTACATATTTACATATTGGCAACCCAAGTTTTTTCTCTTAATCTTACATAAGGCAACTATGATGAGAACTGAGAAGCATTACCTATTTATAGAGCACATTATAGAGTAGTTAATCCATTGATGTAGCTTTCTTCTTTGCGTTTTTGTGCCCAATTATTGTTCAGATGATCCTTGGTGTACATGAAAGTGTGGTTAATGCTATGTAAGAAACTTGTTTGTATATATGGATATCATCTTCTCACCTGATAAGGAGTTTGGAGGACATCTTTCAGGATGTTAAAAACTCTAGCTCCAATATGACTATACAATCTATATCAAGTCTATAACCCAGTTAACACTTAATCTCTTGGATCTTCGTTTCACTATAACTCACGTCATACGTTGTATGTTTTATCCATGTTACTAAGTTTGATTCTACTACTGCCTGAATTTAATTATGATTTCTGTCAATGCAAAATGGGGTTTCTTAACTAGATGTCTAGAATTTAGAGTTGTACCGGAGGAGTTGTAGCATCCTACTGATCCACTTTCTGGTTATCATCAGTTGAACAGTTCTAGAAGTTCACATAGTTCAAGAGTCCAACTTAATCAGGTTAGGACAATATTATCTATTACATTTAAAAGTATTCCAAGTACTATCGAATCTGTTCTCTTGTGTATTAGTAGGCGTTGAGACAAAGGTTCAGGAGAGGGAATAAAATTTCAACAATTAGTCTAGTAGTTTATTATGATACAAGACATACAACTGACCACAATTGTAAATACTCTCTCCATCCGGTAGCAAATGCAATAATTTTCCTTCCCGGATGTCCTAGAATAAGTGTAATGCTTCCTTTTTTGACATAGTTTCAATCCAAAGTTGCCGCTTACCTTGCTAGCAATCATTAGCAATATTGATAACTTTCTTTTGGGTCCACAAGATTCCCTTATTTGTCATTATTCAGGATTGTTTTAGATATTGGAGCACTTCAATCAAACTATGCAGTCAAATGGTGCATTTTTTGGGGCGAGGAAGCCATACTTTTATTGATTTATGTGAGATTGCGAATAATGGTTTTGGGTTTTAGTTATAATTTTTTTTCACATTTTTAGGGATTTTAAATTTCCAGTGTGATAGCTATGATTGCGGTTCATATGAAAGGTGGTTGGTATGCAAGGCTCCTACTTTCTTTTAATGCTCTGGCCTCTGGGTTTAGGAAGGGCTTGGTGTGTGTGCAGTTTTACTTCTATAGGTAGAAAGGTCGGTGGCCTTACTCATTTCAGTAAATTGGTTGGAATGGAGTAGCCTATGCATTGTGCCAAGGCACAGTAATTTTGGGCCAGATAACTTAGAGCATCTCCAACAGCTATGTTAATTCTTTTTAAAATAGAGTATTAAAAGTCAATATCTCTAAAAAAATTACATTTAACTCTAATAGCTACTCTATTTTAGCAATTCTAACATTAACTATATTATTAAAATATTCAATACATTTAATAAAATATTATTTCTCTCTCCTAAACATTTATTTTCAATACCTCTTATTGGTGGGAAGTATTAAAAAAACAATTTCTCTCTCTATTTAGAGATTCCTATAAATTTAGAGATTTTTATAATCTCTCTTCTCTTTTCTCTACTATAGCATACAAGATAGCATAGCTGTTGGAGCAAAAAATTGCTAAAATCCCTCTTTTCTCCATTTTAGCATAGCTGTTGGAGATGGTCTAATCCATGCCATCTTATGCTTCATGATGGTAATAAAATGAAGCTTTGTCCGAAGCTTTGGTATGGATGTTTAATAAAACTGCCTAATCAAGCTGATTGAGATGAACTTTGGAAGCCTGATCACTACTGTGATTAGTTTTATGGTGCTTTTAATAATTGAAAGCTGTGGTAGAGGCTTTCTAGCTAGATTCAGTAGTTCACTTAAGCTACATATGTGATCTTCTCTAAATTGCAGAGCTCCTACACTGATGCTTCATTCTCTGGCTGTTCTGTGAGTTCAGAAAGCCACATTTTATTATATGTTGTCAGTTGTCTTTTCATTGATATTGGTGGCTTTAGTTGTACTTAGTGTGCATAAGTTATATCTTTTCTGTCTCTCAAATGATATGATATATACTATTTAACATTACATGCAAAACTACTTGAGTGGTTCATCTTATATCTGGTGCAATAATTTTGTGTAGCATTACCTTAAGCTTGTATAAGATCTTGGAAGAAATACCTGACAATAAATTGCAGAAAGGTAAAAGACATAGTTAGTATTTTTTGTGTTTCTTATCTGCTGGACAATTTTCTTTATTTTGTTTTGTTATGTGGTTTTTTTTTTTTTTTTTTTTTTTTTAATACTGTCTCTATGAACAAGACCTCACTCTATATTCTAATAGATCTTTTGAAGTAAGAACACTAAAATTTTTGGTCTGATATCATTGTCCTTTTAAAATGCATAACAAAACACAGGTTGAAGAATTAGCGTTTCTCATAAAGGACAATCTTCCCTGCAAGCACCTTGTTCTCTCGATGGAAAATATGCTAGTTGATTACCTTAAGGATGATACGAGGTAAGTTTGCTTTACTTTCAACACGTACTGAAGAGAAAGCACAAGTGTTTTGGAAATACACTTCAAGTAGTAAGTGTTTTTACAACCATGGGATCAAATCATCAGACCTGAGAAATCTCTCTCTTTTGGTATTTGTTTCTGTATGCCATATTAACGACTTTAGATAATATAGACAGAGAGGACACTTTTAAAGCAATCAGTTTGGCTTGATAATTGCCAGTAAATCTGCTTGTTGGAGTATGCTGTTGGATATATATAAGATGAATAATGTTAATCGGAGTGTTGTCTTTGATCAAGTATGATTCAGGTCTCTACAGATGATTTTGATCCATGTGATTCTCTATATAGTTTTGATAGAAGGTATTCTGGACATTCTATTGGTAGTAAAACACTTCTCTTGAACCATGTGATGGTCAAAAGTTACAATTTTGATGGGATTGAGGGAGTAAATAATATTTTAATATTATACCAAAAAACGTTGACACCAATTTTTAAGTTTGAAAGTAGTTTGCTTAATCTAAAAACTTAAATCAGGATACTATTGGAGCGGAGGGGGTACATATTACTGGTTTGCTATAGTCTTACAGCGATATAAATTTCTGAATAACGTGTGGATTTCATTATCTGATTATCTTATTAAACTCGTCGTCGATGTTATTTTGTATTTACTGCTTCCTGCAGTAATCTTATTATAAATTTATTTTCATAAATTCTGTGCTATCTGGTATAGAAAGAGGTGAGCAGAAATTATATTAAATTGTTGCAGCTTAGGTGAGGTGCTGGAGCTGGAGCCAATGAATCCCTATAATCGTCTTCTCTTACATCGCCTTGCTGATATATTCGGGTATCTTCCTTTTGGCCACTTCATATTTTTTTAATTGACATCATTGCTTTTCACATATTGTTATGTACTTGGTCTTCTTGGATTAACAAGGCCCCCCTTTTTTGTATGCAAGATTTTCTCATCAATCTATCGGTGAAGGAGATGACCGGCATCTTGTTTTAAAGCGCTGCGAGGACACATCAATGTATGTTTGAAAGACTTTGTACTTGAAGTGTGTTATCCCTGGATTTTCTTTGTAGGAAGCTTTTTCTTTTTCTTTGGTAACCATGGGTATCTCGGCCGGTTGCGCGCCTTGACTAATTCCATGGGGCCCTGAAGAAGACGGTCAGGAAAATTCTTAATGGGCCTGAGGTGGCTCGAACCGGTTGCCTATGGGGAGGACCCCCAAGGCCTAGCCTTTATTTGTCCATTTGAGCTGGCCCTCAAGGTTTATTTGGTAGGAAGTTTTTGTACGGTTCTTGGTTTTTGTGCAACCAAAGGTCTTTTATTGATAATTTTATTGCAGTCATAGCTTTGCTTTTATTTCTTAAAGAAAATATGGCATTCTTATCTACAAGGACCAGAAATTTAGCTCTCTCCAAAAAGCAGTAGAGATGTCTAATGACTAACATGTGATGTAAGCTTATTCTAGTGAACGTAATCTTTATAAATGGTGACGATTCACTTTGTAAATCGTAAAATATTTTCATCTTCAATTAATTTGTTAATAAAATAGATTGATAGCGAGTCATCAATAATTTCTCAGTCCCTCTAGTTGGGTGGGCGCTGGCCGGTCTTTCGACCATGCTGGTAAGGGCGAGTCCGGATGTAGTCTTCATTAGTTTTTTGTCCGAGGAGGAACCGGGTTACCAGAACAAGAGTATGGCTGTACACGTTAATGCTGCTTGTGGTTGTTACTTTATAAGACCCTGACACCGCTTTCTTATTTTCTCTTAAATGTCAGACCCTCCATTCTTGTTGCGGATATGTTGTGGGACCATGATGAATACCAGTCTCCAGTGACATCCCAGCTTTTATCGCGACGAGAGGATGGTTTAGCTGGTATTATTTTTTAGGGTTTTTAGAAGAATATTTAACAGATTTTCTTAATGCATCACCATCTGACAGACTTAAGAAAATATCTGCCTTATAGAAGAATGCCTCAAAATCTGCTTTTTCATGTATAAACCTCGAGATTTAGCATCAGAAGTTGGTTCTCATATCAGGAAATCCATGATCAATAGTTCTTGCACAAGCAGGGGTCTTCACAGAAACAGCCGCTCTACTCTTTGGGGTAGAGGACAGGTCTGCATACATCTTACACCTCCCATACACTACTTTCGAGTGGGATAAGGAGTGTCAGCTTGGTTGGTTCATGACCAACATTTCTCTAATTAACAAAGTGGGCACACGTGTAGAACTAGCACAATGACTATTGCAATTGTCTCAGGGACAAAGGTAGAAACGGTATTTGCTCGAGCTTCTCTAGAGGACCGAGAGGCAGCTTACTTGGAAGCTCGGAAACGGATTTTCTCAACAGAAGCTGAGATGGAAGGGCTTACAAAAGAGAGGCCACGAAATAATCCCATTGTTGCTCGTCGTATGATTGCACACGCTCTCGGCAAGAGAATCAAACAATCTAATCAAGGGATATGTGCCAAGGATGCTACAGAATACCAAGAACCTACTGATGAGGTGCAAAATCAGAAGTGTCAAAATGGTAGTTCTGGTTCAAGCTTGCAAACCCGTCCAAAGTCAAATGGTCAGCACCGTTTCACTGGGAGTGATCAGAAGGTGCCTCAAAACCTAGACGTTAAACCATCAACCAATGTGGCCGTATCAGGTGCAAGAAAATGTGATACAAATTTCCCAAAACACAGTTTAAAAGATGAACATATTGGAGCAGCAAAGCGGATGTTTGCTCATGCCTTAAGAATGCATCCATCAAAAGAAACCATTCTTTCAAAAAGCAGCCAAACAAAGCAGGCCGATAAATCCTAATCTTTCAAAATCCCTTTACTTGCTGTCCTACTAATTTGTTGCATGAAGCTTAAGCGCAATTATTCTGACCATCCGAAAGGCAGATAGAATGTTTCATCTTTCCTATTCTTAGAAGACGTGTTACCAGAAGATACTCACAATTGTACTGGCGTCTGTTCGTTCATTCGTTTAGCGTAAAAGACGAAGTTGAAAGTGGGATTGGCCGGTTGAGCTCTTATCGTATGTCTCATTTGGTTTTCTCTTGTGGTGTGCGTCATAAATTGTGCGATTGATTTCTTGATGCGGGTGACCATGTGGTGTCTTTTGATCATAGTGATGATATATTCAGCTGCAAAGTATGGTACATATATGCGTTCTAGATTTCAACAGGCGTGTTTGCGATTGAATCTGGATTTGCATGGTCTCCTGTCTTCATCCCCAAGCATTTGGCATGTGTAACGGCAGGCGTAGGCGTGTTTATGTTGCAGGTATGTCGTGTTTAATTTTATATCATTTATAAGCTAGATTTGTATAATGTTATGTACCTTATTGTCTTTTGCATACAACATGTGCATATCTACTACCAGCCTGGCTTTTTAGTTTTGTATAATGTATATATATACTACTTATTTGGTCAAAATTAAAAATGTTATCTATTCAAGTAGCTGTTGGTTGTTGCTTCTAGGTAACCATCCTTCAGTTTTTTGGATGCCATGATATGTCATATCCTCGACTCAACTTGTTTATAGATTATGTATATATGTGTTCTAATTAAATTATTTGAAAATTTGGTTGACGGGTTCACTTATAATTATTATATGTAAAAAACCATTAAATAATACATTAGGGACAAACGGGCCAGTTTAACATTTATTCCCGTTGTGTACCAGTCTTAGGGGTTGTTTGGCAATTGCTGAATGGTTTAGTACAGAATGATTAAGTGGTCAGAATGATTAAGAGGCTCTCATGATATAGTGCAAAATGAAATATAATTGTTTGGTAATTGTGTACAATGAAATTAGGGCTCTTAATGGATAAGGGAGATCCAATATACAAAATCATTCAGAGGGTTTTAGAACCATTAAGAGGCAAACTTTTATTTTGCCAAACAAGATTCACCTCTTAACGATTCAGAGGTTGTCTCTTAATGAAACTATTAAGAGGTAAACAAACAGCCCCTTACTAAATACTATAAACACATTAGTCATGTTCTGTCGAGTCTTGTTTAGTCCACATACCAACCGCAGCCTAAAACAACGATATGGTATGCAACTCTGATAACTGTAATACTTCATCTTATGCTTCTCTTTTGGTTTTTGCCACCTTCCACCACCACATTCATGTCCCCCCACCACTATTGCTCCTCCTCTACTCACCACCGGTCACGCCTCTCCTCCCTTCCACCACCGTTGCTCCTCCCCTTCTCACCACCATCACTCTTCTCCTCACCACTTCATCTGATGCTCCTTCATTTCTCTCCCTTCCACCACTACGTTCATTTCTCTCCCTTCCACCACCGTTGCTCCTCCCCTTCCTCACTACCACTCGTCAACACCACTATTACCACCTCTTGTTGCTGCAACACCATACCTAATTCTTAAAATTTGATTATTTTGGCTCTAAAAAGTAAGGAAATCAAAATCAAAATAGCATTCATACTGCAAAACTAATTGTTGCAACTTTAGGTTTTAATAATCAGGTTTGTGTATATTAAAAAGACCCTCAGGTAGATAAACCAAACTCAAATTTCCAAGTATGCTAAATACTGAATCGTAATAAATAACGACACATTTATTTTATTTTTAATTTGGTCATCAAACTTTAAACTAGAAGTCGTTACAGAAGTAGTCCAACTGTTGAACGCTGTTATAAAAGCAATCCATTATATAAGTATCATTGAACTTTGTCGGCATGCTATAACCAAAATTAACCAAATTCATTAATTTTGACTGGTACATTGATCTTAATAACGTTTTTTGCAGTTCGATAATGAAAATATACATGAAACAAAAAGTATGTTTCTATTTATTACGAAATTTCTTGTTTTTTCTATTCATTTAGGTATACAATAAAACATCACTTGGAATCATACCTAAACATCAACCTCATTATGTACATTAAAACATGCATGCACACGAAAAAACTTTTATTCCTAATGACCACCAAGGAGTTGCCATTGTGTAAATATCCTTGCAAAACTGCAGTCTTGATTTCGGCTAAAAACTAGACCGTACTTTCGAGTGAGATATACAGGGTTGGTTTGGTTTGGTTTTGGTTTTGTTTTGTATCTCAACTCATAGTGGAATCACTTGCACTTCCAACGATTTCGCCGCTTGTGTTGCTGTGAACGCCTTCATCTCCCTCTTTGCTCGCTGCATTAAACCAAAAGACAAGTGACCAGGCTGTCATTTAGCTCCGAATATGGTGTAGAATGATAATATAGTACTGTTATTTGAACCAAGTTAATGGGGTAGCTCAACTGGTCAGGCCTTGGGTTATCTGACCCATTCATAACTAGTTTGAGTCCCCTCAAGGCCACCGAAGGTTTTCCCAGCTGTTAACTTTAGGGATTCATGGGATTAGTGAAAGTGCTTGTAATTAAGCTGTTAACTTTAGGGCTCCTTGGGATTAGTGGAAGTGCTTGTAATTAAGGTAGTCTGGACACCCACAATTATATAAGAAGAAGGTTCTAGAGATCCTTACAATATCTGCTGCAGTGTTTTGCCATGCTTTATCCATCTCCCCGAATACAACGTCTATCGTTGGTCGACCTTTGCTAGATTTAGCGACACATAGCACTGCAATTTGCAGTATGGATTCGAAATCTACAGTGTTCAGATTTCCATTCAGTTTCGGATCTTCGATATCCGTCAATGGACGTCTTCCCATGCTTACATCCTTTGCCTACAAAAGCTCCAACAACAAGCTCTCTTACATAACACAGAAATAAAGCCTAAGTACCCAAAGGGTCATTGACCCAGTAGTACATGGGTTCCTGGTAGAGCACAACTTCACAAGAGCTTAAACCTCACCAAAGAGAGGAGTGTGCATAAGTATTTGTCGTATATAAAAGTAAAATTAAAGCATAAGCACCCATATATGGAACAAGTTGTATACCTTTCTTGTGAGTTGATCTCTGGCTTCAAGATCGAGCTCAATGACTTTTTGACCCGAAAGAATTTGAAGGGCAACAATTCCAAAACTGTATATGTCACTTGCGCAGGTCAATTTGGCATTGCTCATGTATTCGGGGTCCATATAGCCTATGGTTCCCCGAACATCTGTGAAAACTTTGCTCTCTTCCATTCCCAGAACTTTTGCCAATCCAAAGTCCGAGAGCTTTGGCTCTAAGTTCTCCGTAAGAAGGATGTTCGTAAGCTACACAGGAAACGATCGTTAAAACAAGCAACATCATTATAATATTAAAACAGGAATGATACTACAACAAAAGGTGTCTTTTAGGACGCTCAACCGTCATTGGGCGTCTTAAAATACTCGATGAAACTTTATTTTATAGGAACAAAAACTGTGGGTCCTACACAAATTTGTTACAGTAAGTTGTTAGGACGAAGTTGGATGACCTAACAAGTTCTATCAAGTATCAACAAAGTAAATCTTTCTTATTTACATTTTTATATAACACTTCTGAAAAATGTCATATGTAACAAGTTCTACAACAATGTTAATACGACGATTACTTTTTGAGTCTTATTAGTTTGCTCAATGTCATTGATAGAACTTTAAAGGTCACCTAAGTTCGTCTTTAACAACTTATAAATATTCTATTCCGAGGTTCAAAGCCAAGAAGGAATAAAAATCCCCTTGTGGCCACGGAGGTTCAAATGCGATGACTCCGGGCTATCTGCAAAGCAGATGGTCTCCTTGGGATTAGTCGGCTCGCATAACGAGTTGGATATCCAGGTTAATAAAAAAAAAAAAACCCTTTTTATTGTAGTGTCAAGGTAAAAAACATAAATAGAAAGCAGTAATTACCTTAATATCCCTATGAACAATGCATCCATCTATGTAATGGTGGAGAAATCTAATGGCTAGTGCACAGTCCCTCAAAATCTTGACTCTTCTTTCCCAGATTAGCACACTATCCTTTCCTGTAAGAAGTAGATACCCAAGTTCAGTACAGATGATCCCTTGTATCTATATATTGTATCTATAGGCTATATCTATAAGCCTGGTTCAAGAATCATAAATATTCTGTTAACCTAGAAGCCAACTATTCATGATGTATATATTAAATAACGAGAATCGATATAATTAATGAATATTTTAAGGTTATTTATCATGAATAACTCGTGGAAAGAAGTTGGTTATCATGCTTTCAAAATATTTATGGTTTCCGTTTGATCTTTCCTTGTATCTATATGTTGTATGTATTATATGGGGGATATGGTACTTACGCAATAGATGGTGAGCAAGATTTCCAGCAGGGCAATACTCATAAACCAGGTACTGTTCTCCGTCTTCGATGCAGCAACCGAAGAGGCACACGAGGTTCGGATGTCGAATCCTCGAAAGACCCTCGACCTCCCTTGTGAACGAATCAGCGTTATTTTGGTTACTTATCTGTTTGATGGCAACGGCTTGTCCGCTAGGTAGGATCCCTTTATAAACCTCGCCAGCACTTCCACGGCCAAGCCACTTTTTCTCGTCTGAGAAGTTCATGGCTTGCTCGATCTCGGCCTTCGAGAAGCGGTACAAGCCTGACCATGTTATTGGGAGCTCTTGGGTGTGAAATTGAGCCGATTTGTTTTCTTGATGTTTCTTCCGTGTCACATATTTTACGAGCACAATAACTAGCATCAACCCCATGCTAGCGAGTACTATGCCCAATAGTGTCTGGAAAATGGAACCTGGTACAAAGTACGTAATGGTAGTTAGGATACGTGGAACTCCTTGGAATCTCTCTCTAAAGGTTCGAGTTAGGGTGCTTTTACCAAACACATCTTATAGAGAGAGGAGAATGGTTCATGTCTAGCTGAACATGCATAAACAAGTCATCGACGTTATAACATGAACGTTAACGAGCAAGATAAAAGCTTGAAGTAACTTACGTTTTAGTTTGATGTAGCCTGGATCTGTTAAGAAAAGAAAACAACAAAAATAACCCAAAATCAACGACGGGAAATCCAAAAGAGTTTCGAGTGTTTGTTTTTAGGTATTGATGAATCGTTAAATTCTTACCATGCACATCCAATATTCGCAAACACCCATAAATATCATCAACCACCGCAGACGAGCTCTCGTTCCAGTTCTCGGAAACAAGAGCTGTCACAACTGCCACCCCACAAACCTGGCTCTCCGTTTCATTCTCGTTCGCCTGCAGGTTCTTTACAACCGAACCCCGCGCCTGCATCACCGCACGACTACAATCCCTACATGTCTCATCAAACGAACTGCCAGATTGGCCAAATTTTGCGCAAATCGAACTCGCGTTCTTGAACTCCTGATTGTTTTTGAGACTGGCCAGGGTAAGGGCCGAACAAGAACCGGCTTCTTTGAAGAAATTGTTGAAGTTACAGTTGCCGAAGCTGACGAGTTCCTGTTGGGGTTGGAAGATGGAAGAGCGGCTGCAGGATGACCATTGATTTGAATCGAGAAAGATTGAAGATGATGGTGAAGAATTGGAGGATAATCGAGCAAGAGATTTGGAGATTAGGGTTAAAGGGGATTGGCAACAAAGGGTGGTTGGGAGAGTTCCCCATGCTTTGATTTTGAGAAGGTGTTTATGATCTATGCAGTCTCCGTTTGGTTGGTAGGGAAGTGATGTGAAGTTCAGTATGCATCCTGAATACAGTTCGAAAAATGTCTATATTTAGATACAGATACAGATACAGTGTTTTAAAAGGCGTGTCATGATGCAAGACTTTCGTCTGATGTAAGTGAGGTGATGACTCTTACAGTTTTACCCTATAAACGCTTAGTAGGTTATAAACGTTTATCATCAATCCATTTTTGATGGCCGGAAATGTTACTCCATGAGGTAAGTGAGGGTGGTGACTCTTGTCAGTAAGCACTTATCCAACAAGCCTTTGGTAAATGGCTCATAGGAGTCACTACCTACCAGATAAGATTATCAGTTAAGAATCATCATCTCTTATCAGGTACGCATCTCTTACCCAGTAAAAAGCAATACATGTTTAAGGGTTGTTTGTTTACCTCTTAATAGTTCAATTAAGAGGCAACTTCTGAATCGTTAAGAGGTGAATCTTGTTTGACAAAAAAAAGTCTGTCTCTTAATGGTTCTAAAATCCTCTTGATTTTGTATTATGCATCTCCCTTAACCATTAAGAACCCTAATTTCATTGTACACAATTATCAAACAATTATATTTTATTTTGCACTATATCATGAGAGCCTATTAATCATTCTGCACCAAACCATTCAACAATTGCCAAACAGCCCCTTAGTTAACCGATAAGAAGCGGTAAGAGATTATTAAACAATCTCTTACTTTTTAGTTTTTAGTATAATATATTCTTAGAAACATTTGTGGGTAGGGTTAGGTTTCCGTGAGAAATGTAACTTTCACGTAATAAAACGTAACTTTCACATAATATATGTGAAAGTGCGCTTATATTGTATGTAGATGACGACCTTCACAAAAATTGGTGAATGTGTACGTTCAGGTCCCGTTATCTTCACTTCTTATGTTTCTCACCATTTTTTGTCCCCTATATATACATGATATGTCATAGATTTTCCACTACAATTCACGTATTGAAAAAATGTAATGGCTTTATCGTGAATTTTAAAACTCGAGTCTTAGACCTCATTATCATTATCATGTCACACCTCACTTAATTTAGAATCTTGTTTGATGATATGTACTTTCTGAAAACATAACATAAAAAAACACAACTAAATTCACGTGCGCAACATCAACGTCATTTCAACATCGAGTACTGGTTTTAACATTTTGGAACTATATAGCCTTCAATAAGGCTTTTTAAGTATGATTCCTCAAAATAGAAATCGGATCAAATTATGTTCTATTTTCATTCATTTTCGCATCATATAAGTCAGTAATACGCATATATGATAGGTCGAAATTTCATGAATACCAATGACTGCTATATAATTTGTAATAGAATTTGCTAAATTACACGTTATCGTCACTAATTCACATAAAATGTATGATACGTACATCGTTAATCACCGTCCTTTTTCTATTTGGAAAAACATGAGCAGTAACTATCGAATATAGACGAGTGAAATTGACGATATTTATCTGTACATTGAATATACATAGTCGAAGATCGTACCTGTATCGTCACCATGTGTAGTTGAAACATAGAATTGTAGCAAGAAAATTGATATATACAAGAAGAAGAAAAGGAACCTCTTCAAAGATTGCCATGTTTTATCCATCATGGGAGAGAAACAATGTCTCTAAATAAAGAGTAGCCTCAAATGGTTATATATAGAGATGAAAGAGATTTGGATATTCTTTGGAGATATTTAAATGCTTTACGTAAAACTATCGAATGTTTAACTGTTTCTTAAGAATACTTTAAAAATATCTGATAGATGAAGTATTGAAGTCAAAACAGATAGAGTAACAAAATTAGTCCGTTATGAGATCTATGATCGTATTAAAAATGCATTAACCAAATCAATCTTTCTCTCTCTCTCTCTCTCTCTCTCTATATATATATATATATATATATATGGCAATGTGCATTTGAGAAGTGGTAAGTATGAGAGGTAAAGAAGTGATCTTAGTCCTTCATATGGTCAACATTGGTCAAGAATTGCGACTTTGACTGGTCAAACGAAATATAAAGAGGTAGTTTCGTAATTTTTACAAATAGACGGCAAACAAATACATATGTGAACCGATAAGTGTATATGTGAATCCATAGTTTATATGTGAATCACACACGTTCATATATGAATTAGTTAATTAGTTCATATGTGAATTACACGGATTTATATGTGAATCTGTTAAATAATTAATATGTGAATTACACGGGTTCACATATGAACATATACTTCATATGTGAATCACACGAGTTCACATATGTTGTTTTGCTGTCTATTTGTAAAGTCAGAAACTACCACTCTATCTCCCACATATCATGTAAGGAATTATTCAGTGCTTCACAGTTAAAGCCGCAAATTTTGACCAAATAAGGGGGCTAAGATCACTTTTCTACTTTCAAATACTTATCATTTCACATATGAACTAATCAACTGATTCACATATGAACTAATGAGTTCACATATATACTTGTTTGCCGCCTATTTATAACAATTACGAAACTACCCATCTATTTTTTGCTTGACCAGTCAAAGTCGTAATTCTTGACCAATCTCAACCATATAAAATATTAGAATAACTTCTTTACTTTTCAAGTACTCATCACTTCTCAAATAAACCTCTTCCTATATACATACACACCTATATATATATATATATATATATGTATGAGTTATATACTATTTATATATTAGTTTAAACCATTCAAAATTTTTTAATTATCCAATCCGTTATGCAATCCAACTAATCAGATGACGACTATCTGTTCTATGAATAACACGAAGTCACTGCATTTGAACCTCCGTTTAAATCTGATATAAACAAAATCCGACAATAAAAAAACAATGATTATATTTTATTAAAATCAATAAAACAACTTTCTATTTTCATTCTGTGTTCTCATTAAACAATAATTGAATAATTTATTTAATCCAACAATGTCAATTTTAATATATTTTTAATATGCATAGTTATTTGCGGCATTTATTAAATTACGACTTAGGAATCAACACCAAATATTGTGGATTATATGCCATCACATGTTTTCTTATAGTTTTCCTCGAACAATCAGATAAGCTGTACACTAAATAATCATTAAGAAAACCATTAAGTCATGACCGAACATCTTTTTATCGCTTACAAATTAAGAAATCGAGATTGTAGGGGAATACGTCAATCGGAGGTTGAGGAATATGCCGGCGGCTAGTTGCCGGCCGAAGGCTGAATACGTTGGTCGAAGGCAAGTTGCCGTGAAGCGGCAGGGGTGGGGGACCGAGGGAGCGGCAAAGTGAAGGGTAAATCAAGGGTAATTGAGGAAATATTGATGGCTGAGGCCATGGGAGTGGTGTTTATGAGCTGAACGAATAAGCTCTCAGCTGAGCGAATAAGCCCCAACCGAACAGTCTTTTATATTTGAGCGAATAAGCTATAAGGCTTATACAGCCCATTAAACCACACATGAACAACCAATCTTAAAAATTGCATTGTACTGGATGGTTAAGACATCTACGTGCGTGAATTAATTTTTGTAGTAACTAATTTTGTGTAATGACTCACGTGTTAATTAATTAAATAAACGTTTACTGTGTAAGCGTAATCATTCTTTTTACTTACATTATCGGATAATATTCTCGACGATCAAAATGGATTGTTGGTAAACGTTTTTTATCCGGTGACGTTAAACAGGTATAAAGACTTCTCCCTAATTTATTGGGTAAAATTCTCGGTCATTATCATGCTCACCCGATAAAGTAAACACTTACTCTACAAAATAACAGAACTTCTATTATAATATTCTGATCGACCTCGATATATTATTCATAGCCATATGATGTGCATTCAAACACAAGTATAATGGTTCTAAGTAGAGCTGTTCATGGGCGGGACGACCCATCAGATCCGGCCCACTAGAAATACGGGTTTGGACAACCATTATCGAGAAAATGGACGGGCCCGGGTTTGTTCGTTAAAATTAAAGGGCGGACATGGACAATGTAAAAATAAATATGAACAGGTCCTCCCGGTCTGTTTATGTTTTATAATTAATAATTTTTTTTTACCATTAATTCAAATTATACTAGTATATTTTAAAATTAAATTATTAAAGTTATAGGATGAGAGTTGAGATTCTCTGGTTTTTCTTCAAAACCCAAAAGACTCTACATTATCTTTGTTAGCATCCTTATGTCAAAAGTCCTAATCGATCAACAATAAATAGAGTCAGTAATTGCTTAAAGTGTTAACTACAACGATGTTTTTCCTTTATTTTTGGTTCCACATTTGTTAATTAAGAGTTACATTTTTTAGGCCTGTTAGCCCGTGAGCAAGCCCGACCCGTTTATAGGGCTGGCAATGGCAAGTTGTCAAGCTCGAAAAAAGGGTTTGAGTTTACAACATTAGGTCCGTTGGATAAAAAATACAAGTTAGGCCCGAGCCCGCAAATGATCACCTCTAGTTCTAAGCCATTTCGATCCAAATTATACTTTTTCCAATTAGAATTTATACATAAACTCAACCTTTTTCTTTTAGCCACCGATGTGGGACAACACTAAACCAATTCTCAGTATTTATCTTAAACCTAATATCCTAAAAATCAATTTCTGATTCATGTTAAAGAACTCGGCGTATCCACCCGATGGGGGACCGGGGATGGGGGCGAGACACAAATCCCCAAAAGTTAAAATCGAGGCCAGGGTCGGGGTCAGGTAATGTGATCCACAATCCGTCCCGTCTTATATTTATTATTAAAATATATGCTGTAATTTTTTGGATGTTATGCTAAGTCAAAATACATTTACATATGATGCTGTAATTTTCAGGATATTATTCGATGTATTTTGGTTCATGTGGGTGGACACAGACACATGATATTATTGTAATTGCTGAGTTTCTTTTGTATTAAATTAAATATTTTTTGGTTTAAGGTTTATTGTATGATGTTGTGTTTTTGTTAACATATAAAATATATATCTGATATTCCATAAAAGCAAAATTTTGATAACATTTGAGATTTAAACATGAACCATTTTGAATTTAATACGGTGTTTTCACACATTTGATTTAAAATATCTTAGACCAGAAAAACCCTCTATTCCCATTAAAAAAAACCGTGGAACCGTTCAAACCAGTCAAATCAGACTGTTTTTGGCGGTTTGAGCGGTTTGGCAGTCTGATTTGATAAATACCCAAACTGCCCGGTCAGTCTGGTCTGCGGTTTGTATGTTTTTTGAGCGGTTTTGACCAAACCGACTGCCAAAAATACACGTGTTAAGTATATTTAATTTTCATGTTATTGGTTCAACTTTATGGCATGATTAGAAAAATCGTCCAAGACATTTTGTTTTTAGTTTTCATTTCTCAATTGACAGCGTCATCTATTGACAAAATCCCGTTTAAAATAAAATCCAAAATTCTAAATGGTCATTCGACTTCATCAGTGCTTGTTCAAACTTCCAACTATTGTTAGTGGATTTGTATAACTTTTTTTTTCAAGTTTCTCATTTGTTATTTTTTAATTATAGAGATAGACGTATATTTTATCATTTGATTTGACCAGACCGTCTAAAACGGTCAGACCAGACCGAATTTTTTATGGTCCGATTTGACCGGTTTAGTCACTTGCTGCCAAACTGCTCGGTTTGGAAAATTCTCTTAACCTTCACAATGTTTTTGCTGTGAAGGTTCGACTTTCTTTTATCTTCATAGCGTTTTGCTGTGAAGTTTTAAGTGTAAAAAGTGGTCTCGCGGGTTTCACGAAAATACACTGGTCTCACGTAAACCCAACCCTATATATATGTATCTCTCTCTCTCTCTATATATATACATATATAAATATGGGGGAGTCTTTTTTAAGAACTTTGCAATTTGCAAGTTCTGGGAAATCTAATATAAACCATAAATTATATTAAATTAATAGTTAAATTAAAAAAATAGTAATTTTGGTAATTTTGAATAAAGGACATTATGGTCATTTTACAAAAACTCTCCCTCCTTAATTCTATTTTCGTTCTCTTACCATTAGTAACATAACAAAAAAAACCAAGCATACTAAAAACTTAGTTCACTTGGTCGGGTTGATATTTTGGTACATCAAAATACTCTTGTTACCTTGAATATGTTGTTTTCTTTACTCATAATCCCTTTTTTTTTATCATGAATCTTTTGGTATAGGTTATTCATACTCCTTTTAAGTGTATCACGTCCAATTACTTTTCTCAATTTGCATATATATGCTCACATTTACTGAACATATATACAAGGAAGTTAAGTAGAGATGGAGAAAAGATTGAAAACATATGTAACAATTTACCCAATAAGCGCTAACAGGGTAAGATTCGTCACCCTCATTTACCGGGTAAGACTCTTGGTCCTTGGCATCAATTTTACCCTATAAAATTCACAGTCCTTGCCATCGATCTTAGCCGGTAAGATTCTCGGTCCTTGCCACCGCTTTTACTAGGTAAGATTCTTGGTACTTGTCATGTTCATCTGTTAAGGCAAGCGCTTACTAGGTAAGCG